CAGAGAGATGGATGCAGAAATGCAGAATCTGGCTCGAATCTCGATCTCTACGAGCTCCGCGGCGTTGTGGTGATGAAATGGTGGTGGATCAGAGGTGAGATGTGAGCTGGTATATATAGAGTGAGGTGAGGTGAGGTGAGGTGAGGTGGTAGGGGGACCCGACCAAGGTCGTAGTGGGCAGGGCAACGGCACACGAGAAGGATAAAAAAATAAATCAGAATTCAGAGTTGAGAATTATTTTCCCAGTCTCAAAATAAATCAATCTAGAATTAGATAAGATATTACCTAGTACTACGAATCTGTACAGATTTCTATTCAAATTTATTGTACTAGATAATATTATATTTTGGCCTAAATTTGCTTATTTTGGGATTGATGAAGTACTCCCTCCGTTCTAAAATACGTTTATTTTTTATCTGTTTCATTTGTTCTAAAATAAGCTTATTTTTTAATAGTCATTGTATCGGAATTTATAACGATAGAGAATAAATGAAATAGAGGAATAATTGCATTAGCCATTAGAATTTGATAAAGTAGGGATATTTTAGTTTTTTTTATGTGCTGGATGGGTGAAAAATGAAACTATTTTGAGACGAGAATATAGTAGATTGGTTGGGAACTTGGGATTCTGAATTTGAGCAGTGATGTGGAGTAGTAGCAACTGAAATTTCCAAGAGTGAGACCTGCTCTGAATTGATGTGCTGTTTACAGTAGAGGAGGGAGGAGATCGATCAGGGGAGGTCGGGATCGGGGGGAGAGAGGCTCGGGGAAGGCTTGGAGTGGGACGGACGCATGCTGCACTGGTTACAGCTGAGCTGAGCTTAGCATGAGTGTGCATGGCTGGATGCTTCTCAACCTTCTTTGACTCATGTTCTTCACCTGGAGTGGTTGGTTGTACTAAACTACTAGTACTTCAGTATTATCATAAAAGGTTAAGAGCACATAGTGTGATATACTTAATATGCAGGACCATTACCACTAAACTATGGGTAAAAACCATAGTTAATCTAATCACACACATTCATACAGGTTGTGATTGTCACTACTCCCTGTCCTAAAATATTACTTCCTCCGTTTCATATTATAAGATTTTCTAGCATTACTAATATTCATATATATGTTAATAAATCTAGATATATATGTGTCTAGATTCATTAATACCTATATAAATATGGTTAATGTTAGAAAGTCTTATAACTTGAAACAGAGATAGTACTATCTAAGATAAAATTTGGTTCATCCTAAAACAATGAATCTGAACGAAAGATAACTAGTCTGGATAGAATCGTTGCCTAGATCTATTGTCTTAAGACAAACTAAATCATATTTTAGATAGCAACATTCCGGAATACTGAACGCTGCAAGCGTGTGACAGCAACGGGCTACCCCAGCATTTGACCATTGTCAAAGCAGAAATGAAGGCGAGCGGCCGCGTGTCTGCTGGAGGAGAGGACGACAGGCAGAGCAGAGGAGGGGAGGTTAGCTTAGCTGGATCCATCCATCCATCCATCCATCGATAGCTCCATGGCTGGCTGCACTGGAGAATGCGCGTTTGGTGCGGCGCAATGGACATTCCGTATGCTGCTGCGACTGCGAGATCCCTTGGTTTGGGTGGCAATGCGTCTCTCTCCTCTTCATTTGCTTTGCTTCCGGCTTGATTGTGCGTACTAGATCTGCACACATGCGATGAAGGGGAGCGGCCTCCTGTTTGGTTTGGGTGTATTTGTATATGGCTAGAAAAGTTTTAGCTGTATTTAAAAGAGGTGGTCCGTTTTTTTTCTCTCTCTCACTTTTATGATTATATGGTAGACACGTGCGCATAGAGTGTGTGTTTAGAGGAATAGAGACTAACATTAAATCTCTAGCCTCACTAAGAAACAAAGTCATGGTTAAGTAATTTTGAGAACAAGAGATCATATTAGGGCATCCATAATGTGAAAAAAAAAGATAACCCTTATAGCTCTAGACGAGCAATTTATATCAATGTAAAAGCTGGAAGTAGAAAAGGAAATGTGATAGCCATCTCTAGCTATATGGTCCACCCACATGAATTAAAAATGCATTATATTTCACCTCTCTCGTGAGGGAACATTGGCAGTTGAATGCGATTTATTTTAAGGTGTGGGTTTTAACTTAATCCAGTATCCTATTTCGAACAACAACAACCCACTTACGTGGATTCAATCTATATTGAACTACTTAGTCTATATACATTGTGGCATATAACTGAAAATACGATTTTCCCCGTTACCATACAAGTCTAGCCTTGAGTTTCTAGCCTATTTAAGACATGTAAAAACTGTATAATTTTTACCCAAGCAGTGGTAATGGTATTTCAAGTGAGCACTCGATCGGTATTGGAGGTACAGTAAAAAATATTTTTTGTTCTATGACAGGAGTATGCTATTAACAAGAACAGGAACAAAGTACCGAATCAGTTGGAGTGAACCCCACTAAGAACATACAAGTATCTCCAATGATCCGGAAACAGTAGGGAGTGGCAAATAGAAAAACAAAAGCTATGGTTTAAAGGATGCCTTTTGAAGATACTTTACATTAAGATGATCAATTAACAAAGATATGTCACTCACGCTGCTACTACTGACTGTACTAAATCCAGTAGCTTTTGATGTAGCCTGCATCGGGAGTCTACTTAAATATCGTAACTTGCTTAGACCTCAAGTCTTCATCTGGTCTGAACAATCTAGGAATGTATTAGCTGGGCGGACGCAGCATATTTCCGTAGAAATAAAAAAAATCTATATTTCGCGAGATTAGATATTGGGTTTGTTGCCCTACTAGAATTGAAGAAATCATTAGTAGGGTGGTGGAGTCGTGGGTATATAAGTATGACTATTCAAAATTTTAATGTTCGCTCTGGAAGTATGTTAAGAGACGTATTATATCTGTTTTACGTATGTAGTGGTATGTATGACTCTGTTTTTCATGAATAAATTTTTTTGGTAGGTTCAACTCAAGCACTATAAAATTTTGATAAAGATGAGATAAAATGGATATGTTTGGTTTAATGCTAAAATTGCATTTGGTAAGGTGAAACATATGGCTGTACCAGAATTTTGGCACTGTGGTACTAATAATTTTAATGATGTGTTCAGTTTACTATCTTATCAAAAAAATCTTTACTTTAAAAGTGTGAACCTGTTGTGCATGCGAAGTGATGTATGCCTCTGTTTTTCATGAATCGGGAAAAAAAAAGATGGTAGCTTCAACTCAAGCACTATAAAATGGACAGGTTTGATTTGATGCTAAAATTGCATTAGGTAAGGCTTTGTTTAGTTCACGCCAAAATTAGAAGTTTGGTTGAAATTAGAACGATGTGATGAAAAAGTTGGAAGTTTGTGTGTGTAGGAAAGTTTTGATGTGATGGAAAAGTTGAAAGTTTGATGAAAAACTTTGAAACTAAATACGGCCTAAGTCGAAACAATAGATGTGTGTCCTAGAATTTTGGCTCTGTACTTCCTCCATTTCACAATGTAAGTCATTATAGTATTTTTCACATTCATATTGATGTTAATAAATCTAGATAGATATATATATGACTAGATTCATTAACATCAATATGAATATAGAAAATGATAGAATGATTTACATTGTGAAACGGGGGGAGTAGTATTTTTGATTGAGTGTTTAATTTACTGCCTCATAAAAAAAAAACTTTACTTCATTGGAGTTCAGTAGAGTAGCAACTAGCAAATCAAAGTAAGCCCATGGAACTTCGGCTGTCGCCGACAGCATCTAATCTGTTGCACGAGCACGCAACAGCAGGAATGCAGGATGTGTTCACCGGTCTCGCAACAGGAGAGGATGTTGTGTTCCTGAATCCTGATGGACTCCCTGTGAAAAGAAAACCAAGCAGGAGCAGAGACAGATCCAGCAAGATGGATGTGTTGGCCTCACCTAAACCATGTTTTTGTTTGCAGGTTAATTGCTTCGGTGCCCGGAGGCAGAGGCAGCTGAGGCAGCTGCAACGCAACAGAAGGCGCTTGCATTTGCATGTGTGGTACTGTGGTGTCATGTGTCAATTCAGAGAGCAGTGGGGTTGGTGATCGAGGAGTGCACACGCTGAACATTTTGTTGGTTCTCTGCAGTCTGCATCTATTCTAATCTCGGATGGATCATGTGGTTGGTGATCGACATGATAAAAATTAGAGTAAATTGCGCTCGCGGTACATGAATTTGCTTGGTAGGTGCAAATAGGTATAACAACTTGTAAATTGCTCGTTTTGGTACAATAACTTGTCTAGTTTGTGCGAACCTAGTACAAAACAACACACACATGCAAAATTGATCTAATGTGTAGTACCAGATAACCAGTGTGAGACATATGCACGCTATCAGTTGTTTGTAGTTGTGCAGACGCAAGCACACTAGCTTAATTTTGAACATATCAATCAACAACAGTAATTACTATATTACAATCTCTTGTAGGCTGTTTGCACTACTAGAGTACGGATTTTATTTTTCAAAACAAAACAATTACTAGCGCGCAAAGGTTATCTGTGTGGATTATTTTGACCCATGTTCGCATAACCTAGTCAAGTTATTGTACTAAAACGAGTAATTTACAAGTTGTTGTACCTATTTGTACCCACATCATAAGTTTATGTATAATGAGTGCAATTTACTCTAAAAATTATTATTATTACCTGACAAATGAAGGGCCAAATGAATAAATGATTCACAAGAAAACGCTTTACCCTGTATTGAAGTGATTGCATTTGAACACAGGAGTGCAATTTCAAAGTAGAACACAACATAGGAAAACAAGGAAAACACCGACATTATGATGAGTTTATATTAGTAACAGGTGAGAATGGTGAAGAAAGGGAATTCTTGAAAATCACTGCTGGCGGTGGCTAAAGAACCTGAACACCAGCTGACGGATCAAAACTGGAATATGACAAAAACAGAGTATCACATTGTCGCACGCTCGCAGACAAGGAAAAACAGATGCATGTGTTAGAGGGTTGGCTGTGATCTAAGTGGAAAGGCGACAGCTGCATCTTCGTAGATAAAGAAATTATCAGTTCAGTGCATGTTTCGTCCAGTGAAGATTGAACTAATGTCGCGAACTTTTGATTGACTGAAACTTATTGACTGTCGGGATCTCACCCCGCGTATCTACAATCTAGGTGGAACAAATCCACGCATGTATACAACAAAATGGACCATGTGAGGGAAAAACAGCGAAAAACAGAAAAGCCTCATCAGAAGAAGAAAAACTATGAGAAGAGAGCTATGGGGCTCAAAATTGTTCGGGATCAGCGGCAGATCAAATTTGATGAATATCTTGTGGTATCAACAGTGCAGCGTAATCATCTACCATGACCTGCCAACAGAAAGAGAGTCAAGGACTTTATGTAGGAATGCACAAATCCGCATACCTAGCGTTGCGACATGGTATGTCAAAGGGATGTCAGATTATTCTCTACCTTGTATTTCTGACCATGAAATGTGTATTCTACAAGTAACAGCTTTGGATCACCAGGGCAAGGATCGTAGAAGCCCATTATTCCAGACTTCTTGATCCCCTCATGAAGCTGCAAGTGGTGGAAATTTGTTGTCAGGCAACCATATTTCGATCAAACGTATAAACCTAATTAACTTTGGAGGAATGTATTGAGCTACTACAATGAACAAACAATCTACAAAGGTAAAATAGAGTTAAACATAGCCTAGTATTGGGAATATATAACAGGTAATCCCTGTCTATTTGCAAGTTAAAGCCCGCAGGTACCATATTATATTGTTGATTTTCCAGTGGAATTACTAGCCAGAAAAGGAAGGATAGATAGGATGCAAAAAATAAACTACATATTATAGCATTTGTTTACCATCAGCTTTGTATTAACAGATAAACTTATATGTGATTGGCACATACCTTTAGCTGGCCTGCCTCAGAGACGAGGAAGTTCAGTGGGATGGTCACGTCTAATACTTGCGAAGCCACATCATCATTCAACTCATTTGATTCGCTGCTCTCTTTAACTTTTTTGCGATTCCCATACAGAGCTTTTGTAATCACCAAGCCATCATCCTCCAGCTGTCTATTCTTCTTACGATTTGAGACAGGTTCTAGTAACTTTTGTGCTTTTTTCGCTGCGCGTCTGGCTTCAGTTAGCTATACAAGAAGGAACCCTAAGCACTTGATAACCTTATTTATGTATAGAATTTGTTTAAATAAAATTTAACAAAGAAAATAACATGGGCATGCAGTTAAGAGACACATTGCAGTTGCAGATTGCAGAGGAGCTATGATAAAGAGAAGCCACAAGATAGTTTGTCCTCTTCTTTCAAAAAAAAAAAAAAGATAGATGTTCCATCATGGAAAAAATGGAAGGTCTAATACATGTATTCCCTCCGTCAAAACATAGCTACCTTCGGCATTCAATTTTTGTCTCAAAATATAGCTACTTCTCCAACTACCACTCATCTCAATCAATCACAACCATCCCCTATTCAATTCCACTTACTTCCTTAATCTCCGCCGCAAAACTACATTTTCAAATATAGTAGATATATTTTGAGATGGAAGGAGTATCTATCTGTATAGATTTAACTGAACTGGCATGTGATAACCAAAGTTGGGTGACTAATTCCAAAATAAAACTATGTGAAGGTTCCAGCTAGTAAACTTCCAGTCCGCCCTTTGCACTGGTGTACATAAGCTGTCTAATACAAGTAAGAATACAAATGACACAAACAACCTTGGTTTACCTGTGAAGACAAACTTTCCATTTTTTCAAGTTCCTTCTGCTTTTCCCGCTTAAGACAGTATGGCTTTACAAAATACGTCTGTGAATCAATAAAAAGGCACAATTTGCATTTAGTGAACTGATGATGCAGCAAAGGTAACAAATGTGAGATAATGCTAGGAGTTGCAAATATCACATTCCAGTCAGGAAAATCCTCCCAACAAAAAAAAAAAAATCAGGGGTAAGAATGAACATAGGATAGGACTAATTGATAACCTGAAGTAGAAAATATAGTGTTGAAGGAATAGCAAAAACGCTGGTAGCAAGTAATGCATTGAAATCAGTTGAAAGCAAAACCTGCACAATTATTTAATAAGTCAGTGAAACCTAAAAAAAGAAATTATACATGGAATCATATGTTATTGAAGGGGTAAAATTATCAACAACAGTGAAAAATAAAATAGATTTGTATCACGGTGATGCTTTTATCCTGTACCTGCATTATAATATTTGATAAACAAAAAATATTAGAACCAGATAGGACTCAGGAGTAGAACAGATACTTACTGGGATAACTAATTTTTGACCAGCACGATGCAACTCGAATCTCCAAGAGACCCCCTACATTAGATACATGGAGGAATTTCAGAGTACAAAATGGACAGGAAGATAAAAGTTGCCAAAACGTATCAAGCAACAAATACATGAGATTCCAAGATTAATACATAAAACCCATCAATGCTAGAACAAGCCATCTTTGATGTTGTATCCTTATATGTAGTGGATAGCAGATCATAAGCCATAAACTACTGTTGAAGACCATACCATTAGTTTGGATGATGAAAACATCCCTAAGGCTGCGTTCGGGAGGAGGGGTTCCCCAACCCCTCCTCCCCGGCACGCAAAACGAAGCACGCGTTATTACATAATTAATTAAGTATTAGCTTTTTTTTTTCAAAAATGGATTAATTTGATTTTTTTAAGCAACTTTCATATAGAATTTTTTTGCAAAAAACACACCGTTTAACAGTTTGAAAAGCGTGCGCGCGGAAAACGAGGGAGATGGGTTGGGAACTTGGAGATAAGAACAGAGCCTAAGAGGTTATATACTCCAAAGTGCATTACAGAGCTATTATAAACACTGCAGAGGATGCTTTCTGTCTTTCTCACAATCATTCATACTAGAAGCATGTGTATGAATAAGAACAATAAAGATTCATTAATTATTTATTCACAACAATACATTATCAATAATTCCATATACATGTTTCAAACTCATCGCAGAGTAATAGCAATAGATTAAAATGTTTATTTCCATTGTGGATAAATAGAAGTGTGCATGAGTTACTTGCACTGTTATCCATGAATAAATATCATAGGCATAAATGCAGCAATTAAGTTTATTAATTTGCTTTGACTCAGGAGATAAAGTGAATTAGCCTTTTTTTTGCGAGGAGAATTAGCCTATATTTATTGTGATCATCAATAAGGAACCAATGTTTAGTCATGTTTTAACCCCCCGAGGGATACCTTCGGAAAGGACAAAAGCAGGAGCGGACCTAAATAGAATAGGAAGTTGGGTTCTTTTGTTCACTTTCCCAACTCATCTCTCTCGTTTTCCGCACGACGCTTTTCAAAATGCTAAACGGTGTGTTTTTTGCAAAAAAAAATTATATATGAAAGTTGCCTTAAAAAATCATATTAATCCATTTTTCAAAAAAAAAACTAATACTTAATTAATCATGCGTTAATGTATACATCGTTTTGCGTCCCGGAGAAGAGGGGTTCCCAACCCCTCCTCCCGAACACAGCCTATACAACACTGTTTATCCAAAATCAAATTGTCTTAAAAAAAATACTCCCTCCATCCCAAAATATAACTTCTAGCCTTTGAATTTGTCCCAAAATATAACAACTTATCTATCGACATTCTCTTCTCAACCAATCACAACCCTCCACCATTCAATTTTCCCACCTACCTCCACTTCTCCTCCAATCACAATACTCTCCCATTTAATCATACCAACTTTGTTAATAACCGTGTCCAACTCTAAAATACTTATATTCTGGGATGGAGGGAGTAGCATTAACACAAGGTATTTCAACAGAATCGATATGGTGATATGGTAGCAAAATACCAAGAGAATTTTCTCAGATATTGCAAGAGATTAGAGCAAAATCCCACCAAACACATGAGACCTAAGAAACAAGCACTTCACCTGGATTCCTATATTATAGATCATCCTTACAGTACTGAACTCAGATATCCGCCTTCCTCCTCCAATTTCAAAATCAAGGGCCGTGCTGCAAGAAAACAGTTCAAGAGAGAGGAATAGGGGTTACAAACTCATGTAATGGCTTTCAAAAAATGCAATACGGCCATACATAAGTGAAATCAAATAGTATACACCTTCCAACTCGACCAGCAACGCGACCATGAGACTTGGTGGAGAAATAACGGGTGTAATGAGCAGATGCACCAAAATAATTAGTACCAAGCTGGAAAGAAAAAGGCTAGGTTGTTAATACAAGTCCTCAAAAAGCAAGCATCGGATAGTTGCCTGATGTAAGAAAGTGAAACAATCTATAAAACAATTAGTTCTTGAAGGCATTACAGTCAAGGTATATATATTATAATCACTGTGAAGCCTGTTTTTCACAATTTATCAGAGATGTAACTTTCTCAATTTTCAAGGCCCTACAGTCCTACACAGAATAGGTGCTGTTAATTTAGTGATGAGATTGCTTGGAAAATTGAATGACCTTCCAGATATCTGTAAGTACTAATGAACCATATGGCAACCATGGGGAGCTGGTTACTTTAGCTGCTGATTGCTTAGAAACACTCCTATACTAACTACTGTGCTAGCTTCAGAAGTAAGAACACAGCGGCGAACTTATAATAGATGCTGTAACTACACCTCCTCGGAAGTGTCATGGATAAAAGTACACAGGGCACTGTTTTGAAAGAAAATAAAACCGTGAATTCTACAGAACGAAACAACATGAAGCTACGTGCTACTAAAAATGAATCCAACCAGGCAATGTAGATGTTGCGAGGGCATAGAATGGCAAGTACTTCAAATTCCAAACAGATATGTCAACTCTTAGCTGATAACAGAGTTGTTTCAGAATTACCTTCACATCCCCTGCTGCAGAATTTTTTTCATCCTTCTTTTGCCATCCAACAGAAATACTTGAGTCTGTACCAAGGGCAAGCTGTATCTGGAGTTTGGGGGCAAAATCGAGTAACGGACACAGGAAAAGAAAATACCATCAGCTTACCAACACAAAATAAGTAGGTTTTGTATTTAACCTATGTTGTGAACAACAATGTGGCAAAATTCACATGTACATTACATAAAAATAGCATGTATCAATAACTAACGGAAGACGACTTAGGCTGAGTTCGGATGGGGGAGATGGGAACCTAACTCCTGCGCACGGAAAACGGAGCGGTCCATTAACACGTGATTAATTAAGTATTAGCTAATTTTTTTTCAAAAATGGATTAATTTGATTTTTTAAGCAACTTTCGTATAGAAACTTTTTGCAAAAAAACACATCGTTTAGCAGTTTGAAAAGCGTGCGCGCGGAAAACGAGGGAGAGGGGATGGGAAAAGGTGCATGCGAACACAGCCTTAGTAGAGCATAAATCAGTGAGAGCAAACATAAAACTCATTTTGGATTTATGCCATTTGAAAAATTCTTGTAACTTATCCAGAAAGAGATGTATAGTGTCTATAATATGCATCAAATGTAAAATGAACAGTTGACAAGTTGTTCTATACATGAATTAAACATGGAGCCAAAAGTCATGTTTGGAAAGATGGGGGTGGGGGGCACTAAAAGATGTGCTATTTTCCTAAAAACTATGCAGCCTTAATTAGCAGGGAGCCTAGGAGGCTCTGCAAATATTGAAAATAAACAGGTATCAGTTTCATGGTTCCATGTAGGGTGGGAATAGAACTCGAGTAATTTTTTCAGCAACGGCGTTTGACATCACAGATTGTACACATATTATCCGTGCTCTTTTTATATGTTAATCTATCCATGTTACCATGTTTTTGAATTGCTAAGTTGCTAGCCTATTAGTTACTTAGTTGTGTATAGGAAATAAGCAGTGTATCAGAAAACTGAAAAGAGCATCAAGAATAAAGGGACATACATTCCCAACAATATTGTCAGATAGTTGGCGAGTCCAGGCATTTGATAGATTGATAGATCCATCTCTCAAAGAAAGAGCAAGTCCAGATGTTGCTGTCGAATGTGGTGAAATTTGACTGGAGTGCATAACGATCAAGGAATTATAATTTGCAATATGCAAGCAAGTAGCAATAGAAGTAAAACAAAATGGCATGTTCTTACCGAAATGTTTGTACGCTAATAAGGGAACGTAGTCCAGCTGTAGCCATAAACTCTACTGATGCCACAGAAGACAACTGGTGACGCAGCACAGCGCTTGCTGCACCAGTTCCATCTGTGCCATTGACAACCAAATTTCCACCAACAACAACAGTATTTTTCTTGGACACTGGCAACTGAACTTCACTGGACATTCCCATGCTGCCCATTTTCAAATCAAATAATTAAATAATGGAGCTACAGAAGAATATGGGAAGTATCAAGCTGAATTGAAATACAAAAGGGTACTTGATAAATATGTCTACAGGTTATAAATAAATTGGTAAACTGCCATCCTAGTTCATGGGAACAGTACAATATACTGATTTAGCCTTACTGAGAATTCTTAAAAAAAAATGCATACATCAAAATCAGCTTATAATCCTTTCAGAACTAAAGCCAGAGCTTTGGGGAGCTTTTTCACAAGCAGGCAATTGCCGCGATCAACGAAATTTGGCCAACATGATAGTCTGTAAATTGTACTTGCAAGCTGGAGGTAGTAACTCCAACCTAGGTGTTTCTAAGCACTCAGGATTGACATAAGATAAAAGGGTGGGAACTGGTAAAGCCGGAAAGGAAACAACAAGTGCAAATTTCTAAGGAAGCACTACTAATATTTTCACTAAAAAAACATTTCCATTTGCTGAATAACTGTTGCCATCACCAAAACATGCTGAAGAATGTGGAGCGGTACATACAATACCGATAAGCATACAAATTAATAAATGAGCTCAGTGAGTACAGAATTACTAATTAGTTCGAGAGATATCAAACTAGGTGATTGCTTCACTCTATGTGAACAGCTTCAATATTGCACGTGGCTGCAGAAAAAAAGAAGACACAAAATATAATGGAAAGCATTATGTACCCTCTCATGATTCCATAGCCATCTAAATACTGTGGCACGGAAAAATTAGCAATTATTGAGCCAGTGGGTCGAGCATGGGCTAAAAATTTCTCTTCTTCCTTGCGCCGCTTCAGCCGTTCCAACTGTTCTTTGATTTCCTCTGGTTTGTTTAGCTTGGGGCCAAGTTCCAGGCCAGAATTTAAACCTTCCATACCATAGATGTCATATATCTGCCTCTTGTTCTCATCTGATAGTATCTCATATGCATCACGTATTCGTTGGAAGTTTTCAGTTGCCACATCCTTCATCTAGACAAACACATATGAAAATGGAGGATACTAGTCAGTTCAGAAAAAAAACTCATCAATGTAAAACAAAGGGTTATTCCTAGTTCAACAAAATATAGATTATACCAGAAGCAGGAATCTATCTTAGGACAAATTACTGTTTAAAATGGGGAGCCTGGAGAATCAAATGGTGCACTATAAACATCTGAATGCATCTGTGAAGCATGAAGAAGCTGAAGATTGGACTTAACGTCAAGATTACTCACTAGATTAATCTTAATAATCTTCATAAATCGGTTCACAAAAGTATAACGCTCTCTTTTAAATAAGGCTGGTACTTTAGTGTCACATCCCTCCCTAACTTTCATTCTGAACCAAAAAAAAGCATCAGGGATTGTTCCATCGAACATGGTTGTAAATGAAGTAAATGAACATGTTTGCCGCTATTCAGATATGCAGCTTCTCTAAGCAAGAAATGCAGACGAATTTAGCATATTGGTATCTCTCCGATTCCCATGGCACTAGAGCAATGCCTACTACCAAACGTTAATCTCTTTGCAGACCATAATACTGGTGCAAATGATATATAGCCAGTTCAAACAGACCAGATATGTGTGCAATTTGGCACAAGCAGTAATTAGAAATTATCAGCATTTCCCATTATCATCTTATATGTTTACTGATTCTCCTAATGATCTCCCATGAGCACTAAGTGGACCCTTAGTTATCATACATTGCCCAGATCTTCCCCTTGATCTCTACTCCGTCTCTCAATGCAAACTTGTGAAAAATTCACTGGAAACAAGCGCAGCAAGGTCAGTGTCGAGACCAATCAACTACCAATCCTAGCCGGGCACTACCCGATCAAACCGGTGAAAACTAACTACTCCAACCGAATCCCAATACAGCTCGCAACTACCTGACGAGTCAATCGATCGGCGTTTCATCAGTAAAATCTATCACGGAGCTAAGCGTGGCGCGCAACCCTAAGCCAGCCAGCACTTCGAGCCGATCGAATTGAAAGTTGCGACGCGGAGATGGGGCCATGGGGGGAGGAAGCGGAGCAGCGCCCTGTACCTGGGGGTCCTGGTACTTGTCGGGGTGGTAGATTTGCGCGTACTGGCGGTAAGCCCGGCGGATTTCCTCCCCGGAGGCGTCCGGCGAGAGGTGGAGCAGCGCGTAGAGCTCCCTCCCGTCCTCCGGCTCCGGCGTCGACTCCATCCCGCCGTGCGGCGGCGGCGGCGGCGGCGGCGGCGGCTTCCTCCCCCTCTCTGCTTTGCTCCGCGCGGCGATGCGGGTTTTTTCGGAAGCGAGGGTTTATGTGGATTTTTTTTTAATATATTTTTTGTTCACTGCTCATCCTGATTTGGTCTTAATGATGTTCTTCTTCTACTTCCGCCGCAAGGCTCACGTTCCGTGTACTAAGAGCAAAGGCGTAAACGTAGAACTACGTAGTCATGTGTAGAATACGACTTCTTGGCGGACTTGCGTAATGATGCAGGCCGTACTGGGCCAATTTTTTTTATCTGTTTATTGGGCCGAAGGAAAGGAAAGAGCTGCGAAATGTTCGATTGTGTTAGCGAGCTGATCGTGAAACGATTAGTGCATGATTAATTATTAAGTTGTCCCGTGTTTTACTGCGGGATATATGTTAGATAATAGAAAAATGATTTGGATTAAAATATTATTAAAATAATGATTTAGCATGTGTATGTTTAGTTTTAGAATGAAATAAATTGTAGATATAATTAATGTATGCTTGTATGGAAAGGTTTGTGTGCTTATAATGAATTGATGTAGCATGCTTGTATGTAAATTTTAGGATTACTAATAAATATTATGCTTGTATATTAAATTTTAGGTGTTTAATGAGTATTAACTTTATAAAAAGAAAATATTAGAAGCTAACAGATAGAATTTTTATTAAATCTTTTAAACAAATTATGCATACAAAGTTTTGCATGAAACATTGTTTAGCAGTTCGCGAAAATAGATATTAGAAGCTAACAGATAGAATTTTTATTAATCTTTTAAATAAATTATGCATACAAAGTTTTGTATGAAACATTGTTTAGCAGTTCGCGAAAATTAACGCCAGACAAACAATCAAACGGGCCCAAGTCTCTTGTTAGTCTTGTACTCTTGTTCTGTACATGGTTGGGCCTATCAATACCGGGCTACCGGGCTTCCAAACAAGAACGATTTAGGCCTCGGCTTGGCCCAAACTTCTGAGAGGAAAGGACCACGACGAGACGACGAGGCCCGGGTGCAAAACTATCGGGCTTCCACGGGTAACTAGTACAGTAGGACTAGAATTTTTTTTATTAAAAGTTTTACAAAAATAATTTTCCATTTTAAAAATTGACGGAAGTAGTCGCCTACCGCTCTCTGGGAAAAATCGCCCTCCCAGAGGGCGGCGAAAATGACGTGGCAGCCGGCTGTTCGCTCTCGGGCGACGGCCGTCAACGAAATTTGCAGGCGGCCCCCTTGCCGCCCTCCGCTAGGGCGATTTTATACTGTGCGGGGGGCCGCCTGCAAATGGGCGGCGAGGGGGGGCATGGAATTTTGCAGGCGGCCCCCTTGCCGCCCTCCGCTAGGGCGATTTTGTACTGTGGGGGGGGGCCGCCTGCAAATGGGCGGCGAGGGGGCATGGAATTTTGCAGGCGGCCCCCTTGCCGCCCTAGGGGAGGGCGATTTTATACTGTGCTCTATATTTTTGTATAAATATCAATAGTTATCAAATCTTTTTATATTGAAAACTATACAAGATTAAAATCTCCAAGACTGGTAAAATATAATTTTATTATTTTTTAGGGCATATTTGGATTGTTACCGTACAAATATTTTGTTAGTGCCAAAATATAAGCAAGTTTTGGCACTACCAAATATTTGGTAAGGTAAAATTGCATTTGATCATATTTGGTTTGCTGCCAAAATGTAAAATTGTAGTGAAGAATGTTCTACATAATCTCAAATCTAGATTACGTATTACCAATGAATAGGCTTCCATTTTCGTGTGTGGTGTGCTAGTGGGAAAGAAGATATAAAGAGGTTGCCTTCAGATTGTCAATTATATAGCGTCGTTTTCACTGCAATATATGTGAACTCAATGAGATACATTATTCATTAGATGTGACAAGACGATCACGCGTGGGCGTGATTCACTTTATGTCAACAGGCAGCGCCGAAAGTTGATAGTGATCACTCGAGCTGCCGCTTTTCATGTGTGCTGTTGTGGACTGTGCGCGCTACTGGATCTGACACTACCGTGAAGCGCCGAAAGTGTGTTGTCGTGAGCATAAGTTATTCTAGCACCATATGAATGAAAAGAACTATGTAGACGAGACAAACACAAGTAGTACTGCAGTAGTAATAGCAAAAGTAGTACTGCTTTACAAGTTTGTAAGCCAAAAGAAACGGTCACATAAGGACTGAAGAGGTAGAACACTACTGACGAGGCCTCTTACCCCTGTCCCTCCTACCCTGCGCCCTAATGTGCCCCTGAGAGTACGTGAGTCGGTCCGGGGGTACGGCACGGCCAACCCGTCCTGCCTGTACAGGTGTGACCTCTGGCTGCTCCTAAGTGTGCGCCTCTGGAGCTCCTCCAAGCTGAGAGGAGCCTAGTACGTCGTGGTGGTGTGCACCGTGCAAGTCGTCGTCGTAGAACTGGCTAGTAGGACCAGTCCTACCGGCGTGAGACGAAGAGGCCCCAGTACCGAAGATCCCGGCTGCAAATCCTGCTGGACAAGGACCATCAGTTTCGTACAAGTATTTAACAGTAGTAATAAAAAGTAAAGTACCGTGTGGGCGAGGGATCGACGCTCCGTGAGAGGAAGAGCTGGCGAACGCGCCCGAAGAGGTGGCGAACGCCCCTGCGGAGCTCGCGGAAGCGCCGGTCGTGCCTGCGAACGCGCTCGAAGGCAGACGAGGTCCTGCGATGAGGAAACGTGCAGTTAAAACATGGTGACATATTCGTGCAAAAGCTGAAACAAAAATGAACTAATATCTGGGCTGAACTGTACCGTGCGAAACCGGTGCTGTAGGTCGCACTGCTCCGAAGCTAGGGGCGCTTGAAGGCAAACGAGGTCCTGCGAGGATGGAACATCAAGTTACGACGGGGTGATGTTTTCGTAGAAAAACAGAAACAAAACTTAAGAAACCTCTGGGCTGAGCAGTACCGTGCGAAACAGGTGCCGTAGGTCGAGGTCCTGCTCCGACGGTAGGCGCGCGAGGCCGTGGTTGTACCGGACCAGCTGGAGGTATGACGTCCACGGCGCTGCGACAGGAGAAGACGCGCATGACCGCACGCATCTTCTCCTGCATCCGGTCGAAGGTCACCCTCTGCTCAACGTCAGTCAAGTGCAAACCTCTGTTCAACCTCACTTGGACTGCGGTGATATCGGCACTGATATCCCGTGCGGCATCAGCCTATGCAAGATGGAAATAAAAAATTCAGTAGTTGTCCTATATTATGCAAGATAAATGAAATAATTGTAAGAAGTAATACAAATTGGACGTACCGCCACGAAGTAGTCTCGGTCACGGTGCGTGGGATACGCGTCCGTGACAGCGGCACGTGCGGCTCTGGGGCGTCTGGAGTGAAGGTCACACGCGCACGAGTGCGAGGAAGGTACGAGCGAAGGTAGTCACGGTAGTTCTCCTCCGTGTGTGGGAAGAGCTCGTTGATCACCTCCTCTGTAGCTAACACCCAGTCGTCAACGTACTGCTGTACACGTGGAGCCCAAAGTGCGCCTGCTAGCTGTCCCCGTCGAGTCAACCTGTGAAGAGAGGTAAATTATATGGCTCGATGAAGTAATCCGCCTAAAAATTTAGAAATGAACAATCCGAACTCACGAGTGGTCGGCAGGGAGGACGGTCGGCTGCACGTTGCCCGGAAACACCTGCCTAAGTCCGAACTGTCTCATCACACGCTGCGGGCAGTGAGGCTCAACGAAAATGTCGAACACCATCGGCAGGATGGTGAGCCAGTAAGCCTGGTCGCGTGTGCACAAGGACGAAAGTCCTAGCGGTGCTCTCGCAGCGATGGCCTCTTCTGTGTACGGCTCCCAGATGACGTCGCTCGGCTGGAGACGGTCAAACTCGAACACGAAGTCCGGGTAACCACGTCTCACCTGGACGTGAGCGTAACGACGCTGCAATAAACATGATCGGAATTAGACATGTTATGTGAAGAAAAAAAAGAAGACGACTGATAAACTTATAACGCAGCGAAGTTGCACTAACCCCACGTCGACACCAGTAAGTCCCCATCGTGGGACCGTCCTCTGGCCACTGCGCGCTGCGACCAACCCCGTAGGGTGCGCTGTCCACCACTGGTCGACCTATGGCAAACCTCTCGGCTGCCCAAAGCTGAAGCAGCATAGGGCAGCCAGCGATGATCGCTCCCGCGTCAGTCTTCGTGCACGCCTCACAGAGGGCACGGTACGTGGCTGCTAGCACGGCAGAACCCCAGCTCCACTGCGGCACGTCCTGTGGCTGAGCATCCGCGATGGACCGTGCGTAGTGGACCAGCCGGAAGTCCACAGCGTGCCCGTGGGTGCTAGTGAACATCACCCACCCGAACAACCACAACAGGTACGCCTCAAGGGAGCGTCGGACCGAGTAATCATCAGCGTCAGGGTGCAGAAGGTCCGCCTACAATTAAGAATGAAATGTTAGTACAAAACACTCATCCGGTCGCAAATAAGCATGTATGATAATAACAACTTATTTACTTACAGTGAACTGGAGCAACCAAGCCTTGCTAGGCCCGACTGTAGAGTACGGAGGAAGGGTGTTGGCCGGTCCTAGGTGTGGAAGGCGCATCACCTGCTCGAAGCGCGCAGTGATATCCTCCTTCCACCCAAAAACACCGTCCACGGGACCAACTGGTGCTCCCGCCAGCGGTAGCCCGAGCAGGTACGACACGTCCTGCAATGTCGGAGCCATCTCCCCACAGGGAAGGTGGAACGTGTGCGTCTCAGGTCTCCAGCGGTCTACAAGAGCGGCAAGGAGTGACCGGTCTGCATCCCACCGCTTCGCTGGGTCACGGTCGTCCGCCGCCGCCTCAACAAGCCTACAAAGTGGTAGAAGGCCTGCCGCACGCAACCTGTATAGAGCAAACTTCAAACATAAGTACAACACAAAGCAAAGTTGAGTTGAAATGTGAACATACGCATACCAAGGAACGTGACGGGGGTCGACACGCAACCACTCGCGCGACGTGCGTGGACGGAAGGTGCCGAGCTGTGCACCCTCGACTGCTGACAGGAACGAGCGGTGGTTCCTGTCAATCCCACGGTTCAACAGCGCCGGTGTGTCGTACGCCATACCTGCATCAAATAGGTTGATCAGAAACATATAAATAATTAGTTCAACATAAGTAATAAATGTTCATAAGCGAATTACTAACACATATTAAACAAGAGTACAAACAAACAAAAGTGTTTAGTCCGAACACTCATCACGATAACATTATGATACAACACCGAATAGTTCGCAATACTACTAGTACAACAATAGTCGGAGGTACTCATTACAACAACATTGAATTGAAATTACACGATAGAAGTATTTAGTCCGAACACTCATTACATCACAACAACATTTTATTTCCTAAATCGAAAGCATTGTGACACTATGGAATCGCCTGCTGCGCGACGACGACTTGGCCTTGCGCGCCTGCTTGTTGTTCCTTCACCAGGTGGTCGCCTACCATCACTTGCCTGTCCAGATGGACTAGCATCTGCGCCGCTTGGAACTTCTGCATTCTTCGGGCATTTCTTGTAAGTATGGCCGCGCAGATCACACTTGCTGCAGCGTAAAGTCCTCCCACCTGCTTCTGACTCATCCATATCATTTCTGATGCGTCTAGTTTGGCGTCGACCCTTTTTCACCCTTAACTTAGATGGATCTGGAATATAAAAAACTTGGGCACTCAGCGTTGTGTAAGATCCTGAGATCCCGAACCCATATATCTCCTCACTCCATGTATGAAAGATTGCTTCTTTCCTGAAATAATTTGAGACGTACACATTGGGAGATATGCCACAATCACCGGCAGCAGCAAGAACGTGTGAGCAAGGAAGGTGATGAAGCTTCGGCTTCATACAACTGCAGGTACATCCACCATCCGCCTTCAAGACACATTCCTGCACGGCTTGCTTGCGATATATAACACGCCTGCTCCTATCAACACACATTATTTCATACCGATGCACTTGTGTGCCTTGAGCAACAACTCGATGTCTCCGTGCCTTTTTGATTTTATCTTCCATGTACTTTGTCACTACGTTGCCAAACACTATGTTGTTATCGGCCATGGACGGACCAATTTTCTTGTATCGATCCCTAAAGTACGCTTGCGTGCCGTGAAGGATGAATTCAACAATAGCAACCAATGAAAGTACCCGAACTCCTCGCATTACCCAGTTGTATACCTCTGCCAAATTGGTTGTCATTATGCCATACCGAGATCCATCGGTGTCGAACAATAGAGACCACTTCTCCTTAGGCTCATTCTCAATCCACTGAGTGAAATTTCTGATGGACGACCCTGACCTCCTTCTCATTGTTGGTGGGTCATCATGTAATGCACCAAGAGGGATGGGAGGCTCGTCACCTTCAACTAGTGGTCTGCGAGATTGCTCATCTGTTTGCTTCGTTGTCAACTCATCCAACTTGTCCCACAACTCATTAAATTTCTTCTCTTGGTTCTGTGCACAGAGCCTCTTAAAGAGCTCCATAAGATGCTTGTTCATGAATTGCTTGTAGAAATTTGCACCCATGTGACGCATGCACCACCGACTCCGAACATCAGGCCACTTAGCTGGAAGTCCCTTCTCATCCCAACCGTTCTGCAAGTAGTCAATAGCCCGCAACATACCCGCATGACGATCATGTATAAGGCAAACGTTGGGCCTCATACGCACCACTGCAATGTGCACTCTCTCTAGGAACCAGTACCAGCTTTCAGTGTTCTCACTCTCTACAAATGCAAAAGCCATAGGTAGAACCTGGTTGTTCCCATCACACCCAATTGCTGTCAATATCTGACCTCGGTATTTACCTGTCATAAAAGTTCCATCTATGCATAGAACAGGTCGACAATGCACAAAAGCATTGATGCAAGCACCCAATGAGAAAAAGGCTCTTTGCAGCACACTCTTTGTTCGATCATCAACCGATGTAAATGTATGTAGGTCATAGTACGTATTATTATTCCTCTGGGCAATGGTGGCTAACAAATGAGGCAAATTATCATAAGAAGCTTCAAATGTGCCATACCTCATCTCAATGATCTTTTGTTTGGCTCTCCAGGCCTTTGCATAGCTTATGGTGTACTTGAATTTGTTCTCGATGTGCCTAATAATTGATTTTGGTTCAAAGCCAATGTTACCAACAACACTGCTGTACATCTCACTTGCCACAAAAGCTGAAGTGATGTTTCGGTGATACTTCTCCACCCCTTGTAAGTAGCACTTGTGCTCGGTCACAATGCTAACTTTCCAATAATCATTCCATTTACCCTTATATGCATGGACACGCCACGGACAATCTTCCTTCATGCACCTCACTTCATACACATAATTTGTTGACTTGACCACCCTAAACTCTCTCTGCAAGGAAACTGCCCAATGCTTCACCGCCTCCTTCATCTCATCCTTATGAGCATACCTTGCACCCTCAATTACCTCGTTCTCGTTATACTCCCAGGGTACATGATCACCCTCTGATATAACAAGTCCAGAGAAGTCCTCATTTGCCCAATCAGTGGCCATTACATCACCTTCCTCATCGGATGATGCGTCGTCGTCCGCTTCCTCATTATCCAAATCTTCCCTCTCCATTTCATCAACAATTATACCGACTCTCTCCCCCTCATCCGCCATGCCCATAGCCTGCTTCTCCCTTGGTTGATTTTCCTCATTTTGCATCGATGGTCCAACAACATCCCCTGCATTGATAGGACCCTCTACATCTTCGGTTTGCATTGAAACATTTATATCTTTCTCTTGTACCGACACAAATATAACGAGGGGCCATGACCGTTCAAAAGCCATTTCCACATACCGTCTCCAAGCATCAGTGCTGTCCATCGGCATTAGTTCCCAAAAATAACCTTCTGTTGCACGACTCACTACAACTGACACTGACATTGTGTAGACTTCTTGGTCTATTCTAAATCCTCTCAACAACCAACTATAAATTGACTGAAATGTTCTCTCCGCAGGCCTATCGATGCCCTTAGATGTCATTACAAAATCTGACAGATCAACACCATCTGGACCAAATCTAATATTTCCTTCACCGTGAACTATCTGAAATGTGACCTTACTTGACATTGTGCCTGATGAAAACAATAACTGCGTTAACCTCGCATTTCTGTACTACGCCCTAAGTTACATTCTCTACAATATTGTTCTCTAAATTTCTAAAATTACGTTACATTCTCCAGATCAAACTAAACTACATCTTACAATTAACACTACTGTCTATGTCTCAATTCATACTATTATATTCTATGCTATGGATCTACACATATGTGCTGTGTGCTACAGATGTGCTAAAATATATGGAACTAAAACTAAAACGCAACATATATACTCAAACATAACATATTAGTACAAATGCAAAAGATGTATGGGAGCATACCTGTGATGAATTGAGCGAACCAGCAGGGCTTCGCCGCTCCCCTTCTGCTGCCCTCCCCTCTCTCTCTCTTTCGTTTTTTTTGGATTTTTAGTGAATATAATGAAATTTCACAGAGGAGGGACTGGGCTTTATAAGGGGGAGGCAAAAATCGCCCTCCCCCAGGGCGGTAAGGGGGCCGCCTGCAAAATTCCATGCCCCCTCGCCGCCCATTTGCAGGCGGCCCCCCCACAGTACAAAATCGCCCTAGCGGAGGGCGGCAAGGGGGCCGCCTGCAAAATTCCATGCCCCCCCTCGCCGCCCATTTGCAGGCGGCCCCCCGCACAGTATAAAATCGCCCTAGCGGAGGGCGGCAAGGGGGCCGCCTGCAAATTTCGTTGACGGCCGTCGCCCGAGAGCGAACGGCCGTCTGCCACGTCATTTTCGCCGCCCTCTTCCCAGAGGGCGGTAGGCGACTACTTCCGTCAATTTTCAAAATGGAAAATTATTTTTGTAAAACTTTTAATAAAAAAATTATAAATAAAAAAAATTCGTAGGACTAGCATGTACTATGGTGTTACTGCACGGCATGCTGCTGCATGTGAGCGGTGAAAACGGGCGAGAGGAATTCACCGGGGGGGGGGGGGGGGGGGGCCGGGCGTCCCCACGCGTCCGGGCGCCGAGCCGAGCCGTGCCTGGCGACGGTGGCCCACGCACGTGACGTGCCCGCGCCCGCGCCGATCCGGGTGGTGGGGAAAGCGCGCGGTGGTGGGCGCGGCGCGGTGGGACACTCACTCACCAACGCTGTGTGCGCCGCTGTCACTGTCGCACCACGCCGCGCACCGCGCGCGCTCTCGTCACGGCGACGCGGGCGCGCGGCGCACGCGCTCCCCCCGCACGTTGCGCCCATGAGCGGCGGCGGCGGCTGCGCGGTGGCGGAGAATTTAATGGCGCTAACGGTTTCTTGTTGGGACTCGGCGATGGCAGGACGGTGTATTGTACAGTTGTCCAGCATTGCACATTTGCAGCTGAGCGTATGCTAGTCGTCGGCACGGCAGGTCATTTTAATGAAACTGTACAATAGTTTTTTTTTTTTGACTCTGGTCAGGCTGGTGGTTAACTGTACTGTATAGACGAATGCCTCCCAACTCCAAGATTCTCATGTTTTTTATTTAAGAACAGAGATCCCCTTCAGATTAGTCGCTCGAGTCAACCGCTTAACCTCAAATATTCCACACCTGCAAAGCATAAAGCGCAAACACTGTCTTATCCAAATCCAAATCATCCAGCCTCCACCTCGCTACAAATTGGACGGGAGCACGCGCGCATCCCAATCCCCCATCCATCCGCTAACTTTTGCGGTTTCCGCCCCCACCACCATCACCACCTCCACCACCTTCGCGCCCCTGTACATCACCACCCCCGTCTCGCGCTGGCTCATCATCATCTTCTTCTTCTTCTCGCCCAGTGAGAGACACTGTGTCAGTCACTGAGTCACACTCACAGTGCCACTGATCCGCCATGAGCTAGCTCAAGCTGAGCTGCAGGAGGAGTGCAGATAAGAGAATCCGCCTTGCTTTCCTCGCCGCGCGCATTCTCGTCGTTTCCCAAGGAAGCTTCCTTTCTTTTCTTCTTCTCCGGTCAGTCGCAATGTGGCGGGCTCTCGCGGCGGCGGCGGCGGCGGTGGCGGTGGCGGTGGTCGTGGCGGCGCGGCCGGCGGCGGCGACTGACCCCTACGCGTTCTTCGACTGGGACGTCGGCTACGTCACCGCGGCGCCGCTCGGCGTCAAGCAGCAGGCAAAACTCGCCTCAATTATTCTCCTCGGTGTTCTTGGCTAGCTCTTCGTTCTCGTTGCAAGTAAATGTGTAATGTGCACTGACTATGGTTTGGTTGGTCGCCGGCAGGTGATAGGCATCAACGGCAAGTTCCCGGGACCAACCGTGAACATCAGCACCAACTGGAACGTCGTCGTCAACGTGCTCAACGACCTCGACGAGCCCCTCCTCATCACCTGGTACGTACGTTTATATAATCCCGTCTTGCAGCAAGTGAATAATGTGTCTGTATATGGACGAACGTATGCAGGAATGGGATCCAGCACCGGAAGAACTGCTGGCAGGACGGGGTGCTGGGCACAAACTGCCCCATCCCGTCGGGCTGGAACTGGACGTACGAGTTCCAGGTGAAGGACCAGATCGGCAGCTTCTTCTACTTCCCTTCCACCGGCCTCCAGCGCGCCGCCGGCGGCTACGGCGGCGTCGTCGTCAACAACCGCGACGTCATCGCCGTCCCCTTCGGCCGCCCCGACGGCGACATCACCATCTTCATCGGCGACTGGTACAACAAGAACCACACGGTAATCAAATCAACACGAAATCAACCGCAATATGAAACATTTTGGACAGGTTTTTGATTTTGAGAAGGTGAAATTTTGGATGGAATTCGTTGCAGGATCTGAGGAAGATGCTGGACAGTGGCAAGGACCTCGGGATGCCGGACGGCGTGCTGATTAACGGCAAGGGCCCGTACAGGTACAACGACAGCCTTGTCCCGGCCGGCATCGAGTACGAGACCATCAATGTGGATCCGGGTAAAATAAAATTTTTGACGAAACTTTGGGTCCTCTTCTCTGTACTACGGCTAGTTTTTTACAGCGTCAATACGTAGTACGTACGTAGAGTCAGTGGGGTGGCATTTTGGCAGCTGGATGAGCAGGTTTCGTTGCTTTTATCATGCTGATCGAGCACTGTGTTTTCTTTGGATTGGAATCTTGTTTCATAGTCATAGCAGTAGTACTAGTAGGAGTAAGGTTTAGTTAGTTCCTTCGCTTTTTGTGATAGTAAATTTGGAATTTGATTGTAGGACAAAGTGTTGTGGAAGATAGTGCTTTAAGCCTTAAGGCAGCCTGCTCTGCTTACTGAAGCTGTCCGCTAATGCTTAACTGACAAAAAGTTCATTCTCGTGAATTTTCACCAGTTTTGTCTGCTAGTAGTATATCATGCAATGGTTTCAGTTAAACAGATCAACGATAGGAGTAAAAATGCCAAAATTTTTTTTACCGAAACTAGGATACAAAAGATGTGACAACAGAAGCCAGAGTAGTCAATCCAACAGTACCAAAAATACAGACTTTCAGAGACCCTGTCCGATTTCATGAAACTTGAAACTGACGAATTGTTCACTGAATACTTTCACCCTCATGAAAAGGATATAATCTTGTTTGCTTCATCCACAAATTGATGCAACTACTCCATCCATTTTATATTATAAGTCGTTTGATTTTTTTTATTAAAATTCTTTAGATTTAATTAAGTTTATAGAAAAAAAACTTAAAGAAGTTTAACTAACAAAAATATAATCAAACGATTTATAATATGAAACGGAGAAGGTTACTACCTACTTACAATGAGTCTATTATCTTTTGCGCGTGTGTCGGCGACGTCGGTGTGGGGACACAGGCAAGACGTACAGGATCCGAGTGCACAACGTGGGGACGTCGACGAGCCTCAACTTCAGGATCCAGGGGCACAACATGGTGCTGGTGGAGACGGAGGGCTCCTACACGACGCAGCAGAACTACACCAACCTGGACGTCCACGTCGGCCAGTCCTACTCCTTCCTCGTCACCACCGACCAGAACGCGAGCTCCGACTACTACGTCGTCGCCAGCGCGCGCATGGTGAACGACACCGTGTGGCGCCGCGTCGCCGGCGTCGCCGTCCTCCGCTACTCCAACTCCGGGGGCGGGCCGGCCCGCTCCCCGACCCTCCCCAGGACCAGTTCGACAAGTCCTTCTCCATGAACCAAGCTCGCTCCGTCAGGTACGAGTGAATTGCCCGACTTCGCTCATTAGCTTATAAGTTTCGAGTTAAACTTACTGTCTGGTTCAACTAGAAAGAAAAAAATGGCATTACTAGATTTCAGGAAATTAAAAATTCTAAGTCTAAAATTGTAGGAGTAGTAGTATACAATGTACAATTATACTTCTTTTTAGTACGATTTTGTTGCTTTATTATTATCTAAGTTTGAATATTTTCTTAACATAAATTCTGTAAATTTTATGAATTGTAAATTTATTTCATTTAATTTTATTTTTTTATGTTTGAATATGTTGTTCAACCTTTTACATAAGAAAAGGAAAATAATAGTTGGATTGTCCTCAAAGGGATGAAAAACTGAAAAATTCAATATATGACAATCTAGATACTTAAAAAAGAAGAAAAATTACTAGCCTCCATCGTTTTCTTTATCCAACATCAACCGATGCCAAAATTTAAATTTTAGAACTTCATTTAAAGTATTATCGTTTATTTCTCAGCATTGACATTTACGTCGCTAAAATACATTATAAAAATTTTACCTATAAATTATTTTTTTAAATACGTGGAATGATGTATTATTCGCATTAAGCTTTTGGGTTTTGGTTTTTTGCATTGGGCAGGTGGAACCTGAGTGCCGGAGCGGCGAGGCCGAACCCACAGGGATCGTTCAGGTACTCGTCGATCAACGTGACGCAGGCGTACCTGCTGCGGAGCACGGCGCCGGTGACGATCAACGGGCGGCGCCGCGCGACGCTGAACGGGCTGTCCTTCACACCGCCAGAGACGCCGCTGCGGCTCGCCGACGCGTACGGCGTCAGGGGCGTCTACTCGCTCGACTTCCCGGAGCGGCCGCTGCGCGGCGCCCCCCGGATGGGCCGCTCCATCATCAACGGCACCTACCGCGGCTTCATGGAGCTCATCTTCCAGAACAACGACACCAGGATGCAGAGCTACCACATGGACGGCTATGCCTTCTTCGTCGTCGGGTAAATACATACCCCTTTCGTCCCATAAAAAACAAACCTAGAATTAAATAATGTGACATATGAAATAAAAAACGAACCTAGAATTAAATAATGTGACATATGAAATGAATTTAGACTGACTCTTGACCAGATTCGTTATATTAGGATATATCGCGTCCAATTCTATGTTTATTTTTCTGGACGAAGGAAGTAGTAGCTAGCAATGGCACAAATTAGCTTGAAAGCTATGTACATCCGCCATGGCTGTTCTTGGAGATCTTTGTTAAGGTGGGTGAGCTTGAATTTCGATGCAGGATGGACTACGGCGAATGGACGGAGGATAGTAGGGGTACTTACAACAAGGGTGACGGCGTCGCCCGCAGCACTGTGCAGGTGAGCAAAATTGGTAGAGATCATCGTAAAAGTTGTCAATAATACCTTAAAATTGACACTAGAATAGATTATTCAACAGGTTATTATAGCGAATTATCTACTAATTTTGTTTTTGAAAACTAGGACTTCATTCCATTCTAAAAGCATAGAACATGGTTTATCCTACGGTTCATTGACCTGAAGAGCCGATTATCTACTTGATTGTAGAGAAAAATTAAATATATTTTATGAATGAACTTAATAAATACTATTACAACAAGTAGTTTAAGCAATACAATAGGCAATTTTTTTTCGAAATCGTATTTTTCTTAGATATGTGAAGTAAATAATTCACTGTAACAATCCAATGAAATAGCTGAAAACAGAGTGTAAAAATAATCACGTTTTCTAATAACTTATCAAGTTGATCACCATCTGATTGCAAATAGCAATCGCACTATCTCTGCACACTGGTCAGTGTTCATAGTACTGGAGATTAACCACAATGGAGTTTAGATTTGATTGGATTGGACTGGACTGTATCTTCATGTGGTGCATTGCGATTGCGGGTGTGGCATATGATTTGGCAGGTGTACCCGGGAGCGTGGGCGGCGGTGCTGGTGTCCCTGGACAACGTGGGCGTCTGGAACGTGAGGTCGGAGAACCTGGACTCATGGTACCTGGGCCAGGAGGTCTACGTCAGGGTCGTCAACCCTGAGGACACCGGCAACAAGACCGAGATGGCCATCCCCGACAACGCCCTCTTCTGCGGCCAGCTTCACAAGTACCAGAAGTATGGAATTTTCCCAAACCCAAATTTCCTTCTTTTCAAAGAAAAAAGATCAAACTTTTGTCAGTATAATCCAATGCACGAGATTTCTTATCTCTTTTTTTTGTTTCCCGGCTCTTTCTTGTGTATATACTGCTCCATCCGTTTTATATTATAACTAGTTAATCATTTTCTTCAAGTTTTATTAAGTTTATAAAAAATATAACAGCATTTATAACACAAAACACATGCATTATCAAAATATATTTAATGTTACATCTAATGAAGCTAATTTGATGTTGTAGATGTTGTTAAATTTTTCTGTAAATTTTACCAAATATAAAATAGTTTGATTAAAGAAAAAAAATTAAAATGACATATAATATGAGGTAGTATCAAATTTCTCATGTGTTGGTTGGTTTGTTTCAGGCAGCAGACCCCTCACCACAAGATGGGGACGTCGGCGGCGGCGGCCGCCGTCGTGGGGAGCCGGGTGGCGGCGGCAGCAATGCTGCTCCTCGCCGGAGCAGTCATGATCTCGCCGTAGAGTGGCGACGTGTTTCTTCTGCAAGGAGGTGACTCCGTCGTGTAGGATTGTTTAGGATCAGGGTTCAGGATCGTAGCCTGTTTTCTCTGTTGATATGAGTTTGTCAGTGTGCCGCTTGATTGTGCTGCCCATTGTTCGTTTTCTTTTCATTTTTCTTTTTACCTCATTTTGGGTTCTTTTAGGGTGGGTAGAGATTGCTTCTTGATTCGATTCGTTCGTGCATTTGCATTTGTTCACCAGGATCAACTCTGGTTACTCCAATTCTTTTTGGTAGTGTAACTCTGTTTGATCGTCTGAAAAACTGTTAAAAAAAAAAGACAGCATCAGCTTTGTTCAGTGGAGAACGACAGGCAGTCAAACAAGAACGAACCTGCAGGTTCAGTTAAACACTCCAAACAAAGGCAAGACCTCGCAACATCATAATCACCCATTAACACTTTTGCAAACCACACACATTTATCACTACATCTGCACTCATTTGTCCCTGGCACAGAGATATAATTGCAGCACATGCAGGCCCTGAAGAAATCTGTGGGGGTCCAATTCGATCCAAGACCTGAAATTGTAACCTGCAAGCAGATTCAGTGTTGTTCATCTTTTCATATTTACCGCGTCGCTTTTCTCTGTACTCTTGAGTGCGCCATGGTGGCACCTTTTTATCCATCCTTGTGCACAGCATCACATGGATGCTGGCATGCTGCCGACGCAGCAATTTGACTGGAGCAGGGCATGATTTTGACGGTAGATAGATAGCCCCAGCAAGCGTGCAGGAGGCAGCAGCAGGAGGAGGAGGATGCTGGACCAGGGCTGACGGCTAGCCGACAGAGCAACCGTGGCACAGGCTGGCTGCCTTCAGTGAACGCCCTCATATGAAATTCTGCAGCATACTATGCAGTATGGACTATGGTGCATTACTACGTGAGATGTTTTGGGTTTTTTCCATTCTCTGGTTGATAACTTTGGGCAGCGTTTGGCTAATGGGATGGGGAAATCATTTTCCACCCATCAAAAGACATCTTTAAATCCTAACCATTCATTCTTCCTCTTTCATTTAATCCTAACCCTTCATTCATTTCCCAATCCCAATCCCAACCTCCATTTTCCATTATCCAAACACACCCTTGAGGTTACGGATGATGGAAGAGCGTTTGGAGTGCGGGAATTTTGTAGGAATTTCATTTTCTTGTTGGTTTACCAAAATTTGAATTTCAAAACTTATTTTTAGAGTTGATTTTAAGGGGTTCTTTATTGTAATTTATTTTTCAGAATTTGCTTTTAAATCGCTGATAATATAGATATAGAAGTTTTACTCGTAAATTATTTTTGGTCGCTTCTTCATTGTTGCACGGGTTATTAGCCGTAGTGAGAACAACGACAAGCTCTGCAAGAACGAAACGCAGAACGTAGGCCGTGTTTTATTGTTTACGTGTAAAAATTTTAAAGTATACGAACATATATTTAAAGTATTAAACGTAGACTAATAACAAAACAAATTACAGATTCCGTCTATAAACTGCGAGATGAATTTATTAAGCCTAATTAATCCGTCATTAGCAAATGTTTACTGTAGCATCATATTGTTAAATCATGATATAATTAGGCTCAAAAGATTCATCTCGCAATTTTACATGCAAACTGTGCAATTGATTTTTTTCGTCTACATTTAATGTTCTATGCATGTGTCCAAACATTTGATGTGACCTTTTTGGCCAAATTTTTTTGGAATCTAAATAACAATCTCATGGCAAAATTTTTTTTATGCTCGTCTGAACATTCAGATCAACTGTCAGTTCACTCGGTTTTCATGGCACAATCGTTACATTAGCAAAGTTTGCTGTAGATGATATGTGTAAATGCATTCAGAGTAGCAAAGTTTGCTGAATCTTGGATGAGATGGAAGGCTGACGACCTGAGAGCTGAAACCTTATTACCTCATCAGCCAATTAACTAGCTGTGCTGCAGTTCAGCAGCAGCTCATGTGAACAGGCAGCAATCATTCAGTTCAGTTAAAGACTTATTAAAGGTGAGCTAGCAGAATTCGCAATTCCATTGTCCTTTGACGACATTTTGGGCTTTTTGCTGGATATACTCTCTCCATATATAAGTAGTCGCATGGACTGATGAACTTTTTGGAATTCAGACTTCTGAATCGCTCAATCGAGTCCATGCAGTCTACTGAATTTCTGATACGTTCAGTAGTTCATCAGCCCATTATACTTTGGGGATGATAAAACCCAAATACACTTCCCTTCAGCCGTATTTGCTGTCTCGGTTTCAAAAAAAGAAAGAAAGAAAAAGCCCAAATACTCCTAACATGTAGCAGTAAGGAAGTGCCCAATTTAGGCCTGGCACCTCATGGACTGAACTAGTAGAGGGAGCAAGCATGAGATCAAGTAGCATAACAAACTCACAATCAGGCCGATCAACCAGGCCCATTGGCCAGAGATCTAACTGAAAATTGCAGAAACTGCAGGATTCTTACCTTTGGAATTCATGAAATTCAGAGGAAGTTCTGCAGAACACAGCGTCATTTTCCATCTTCCAAACTGTTATGTATCATATGCCAGTTTTTCAGAACTTTGAAAACTGGCATATGCTTCGTTAAAAGAAGGGCATAATTTTGAGAACTTCTGATGCCTATTGATACATTTTCATTTCGTAAAATCTCCATATTCATACGTCAATTCAACTCTGGATCAATCTCCAAGTTAACTTAAACTAATCATAGGATAAGAAAGATGTGATTGTTCATTAATCTAATGCGTCAATTCAACTCTGGGTCATCTGCCGGCCTCTGAATCTAGACACTCTGTTGAGCTAACGGCAAATTCTCCGTTTCCATTTTCTTTCTTCATGCGCACCGATTTTTTTACAAGAAAACACACTCTGCTGTTTCTGCAGGCCTGCCTTTAAAGAAGATGTCCCAAGTCAAAGGGTTAGGTTCTATCCAGTCTCCCATTACAATAGCTTGTCTCTGCATCTTTAATTATGGCTGTCACTAAGATTACTAAACTAAACAATCTGATAAAGTAATCCACCAAGTACTTGAAAGTCTCATGCACTGATGCACACAGTTACACCCAGACACACACCAAAAAAAAAAGTACAACTCCCTCTATCACATATAAACTTCATTTCTAGCAATTCTCAGACAAATTAGTATGGAGAAATTACTACTATGATACATCTCATTAATATTCTTGACTGTATTTAAATGTGTATGTCTTAGCCTGATTGGTTGTAACATCTAGAAATGAAGTTTTTTGTGAGACAAGTTTTAAACGCTAGAAATGAAGTCTGTGTGAGACAGAGGGAGTAAAATATTATCAGTGCACATCTGAATATCTGATGTACTATTATATATATTACTAACTAACAATGATTGATTTCACAGGTGTGAAGTAGTGTGATGCCAACCACTACCCCCTTGCATAATGCCCTTTGGTGCTCTCTCAACTTCTGCAAATGGGACAGCAGTACATTGGAGCAACTGGGCTGCAGGGATCTGGAAAGGGAGAGACAGATGTGGATTATCACTCTATTCTACTCCCCATTTGTGCAGGCCATGCCAAGAGAATCTTCACTGCTGCTTGAGAAAGATGCAACACCCTATTCTACTGTCATCTTCCACACATCAAAATCTCTAGCATCCCCCTTGATGGAAAAGGAAGAGAATAGAATCAGATAGATGTCTTTTTCTCCTTGTTAAGCCATGCTACAATGTTTTTTTTTTCGGTGTGCAGTGACCAGGATTGGAGATAATGTATAGGCATGAGACAAAATGACAATAGACGTTTCAGAGATGACCTGCTACTTACCTAAATAACTAACTTTTATTCCCTTGAAATAAAAATCTTTATGCTCTATTAAAAGAAATTTCTTTTACATGTTAGGACCGGTGTTTATCAGTTACCACGGTAACCAGGCTTACTGTCAGTGCGATAATGGAAAGGCCCAATATATCGACCATGTTAAAAAAAAATAGTAAAATTCGTTTTTCCTCAGTGACCGCCCACTTACCGGGCAAAACCGTCCGTAAGGAAAACTTCTTCAATGGAAATGTAATGAAACAAACCGTGGTCAAGTTTTTTTTGGTGAAATTATGAATAGCATTTCAGCAACTTCACATCTGAATACAAGTAGACACTCGAGATGAAAACAAAGCTAGTGTGATTGTCACTTCAGACTAGAGTGGTCACATTTTCTAGTCTCAACAACCATAATATGTCGCTCTCATCGGCTAACAACCTAAAAGGCCAAGAACTCTCCCATTGCCCGTGACAGTTGAATTTACACGGGACAGCACACAAGGAAACAAAGCCATCCCCTTCTAACCAAGCAATCAAGCAAAATCAAACGGAAATTGATTAATAATGGCAAGCTTGCCGGTGGTAAGGTGTTGACAAAACTGTGGTCTGGTAGAGGATGACATGTGGGGCCAGCTTAGCTTTGGCAAGGCTAGCTAGCTACCTTTTGGGGGAGCTGCGTAGTGGGCCCTGGTCACAGGCACTGCTGCTGCTTCTACAGCTCACTCCAACGCGGCAAACACACGTGCCACAAATCGCATGGTTTATAGAGTTAAATGTGAGAATTAACTACGGTTTTGGATCTGTCTCTCTCATGAAAATGAGTAGGAACTACCACTAAACTTGTCAAGAAAAAAAAAGTTGTCTATGCATTTTGAAAATGTTTTGAAACAAATAGTTGGCCAGTTAAACATTTAGTCTCAAAAAGGGTATTGAAAGTTAAACTTGCAAACTTAAAACATCCCAAAGCTTAGCCACGAACAGCTGCTGGATTACTCCATTGATCTCTCTTTTGAGAGTTGAGACTCGCTGAAGGTTCTCTAGGACTCCTTTTGTACCGAGAACATAATATAGAAATCATAACCCTCCTTCCAAAGGGAAACATTGTACATTAAATAGAAGGAAAATCAAAAAACAATTTTACGGTCTTTAAGGAGGTACCATGAGGTACAATTTTTTCTATTGTAAATTTGGTACCTCTTAGTACCTAGGTACTATGAGGTACCAAATTTTACATTAAATTTTTGGTACCTCATGGTACCTCCTCAAGGACCGTAGAATTGCTCAAAATCAAATCACAAAGCTCGCGAATTGAGTATAATTCAACTGGTTAAATTATTTGTAAAGGAACGTGTGCTTACTCGAGTTCAAGTTAAGACTTGACATGGGCTCAAATTTACGGCTAATTGTTTTTAGTGATAGATAACGTACCCATCGATTGACTTCGTCAATACCAATACATGTTGTATTCTTTCAATGATAGTGATAACGAGGCTGACTTTCAATGATAGACGACGTACTTATCGATAACGAGATGTCTATGGTGACTTTCATCAATTTCAAGATATGCCAACCTAGCCTTTTGTTTATACTCATAGACATAAGGTGTCTGTGTGTGCGTTATAGAGATGAGCTTGCTCGCATTTGTCCTATGTTTCTAAGTGCATGTTCGTTTTGGAGGAAAAACAAAGGATTTGGAGTCCTAAGGACTAATTGCTATGAGTGTCATTCTGGTTATAGGATTGAAGTACATGAAAACCAAAGGAAAATTTCTTTTCCTACAAGTTGTATAGAGGAAACATAATAATTTTTCCATTCGCTCAAATCTCATAGGAAAAATTCATATGGATTAATGTGTGCAAACATTCCTATTCCTTCACTTTTCTTATTCCTATGGATTTAAATTCCTCCAAACCGAATAAACCCTCAAAAAAACAGTGGAGAATCATGTCTAGAAATTAAGAAACAGTTTTTACACATCCAAGGTTGACGAGAATTTCCACATCAAACGGGGAATTTTGATGTGTTTCGTGCATTAGGACCCGTTTTAACATTCAGCTCCAAATTTGTGTCATTTACAAAAACTAGCATGGTAGCCCGCGCAGATTGCGCAGCTAACATCATTATATTTTCTCTCATATAATAGCATATATGTTTTCTCATTATATTATTCAAATATATTAAAATTTTATATTTAAACATAATTTTAAATTTTGAAATAACTTTACAACACTACTAATGTGTCATATTCATATTGTATTTTATATATGTATTAGTTATTAATTATTTTTAATATCATATATTCCTATATGGACTCTAGACTCGTCTTTTAATATTTCTTTTTTTAATTCCGAATTTTCTGTAAATTGTATTTCTTTATAGACTCTATGCTCTTCTTCCAATATTATTTATGTTTATTTCTGAATTTTTATTATTTCTAATTGTATTTCTATATGTGGACTCTAAACTCATCTTTCAATATTCTTTAATTTTTAATTTCGAATTTCAGTTACTTCTAAATTGTATTCCTATATTGACTTTAAACTTTCTTCCCATGTTTTTCTTATTTTCAAATTTTATTTATTTATAAATTGTATATTTATACGGACTCTAAACTCTACTTTTAATTTTATTATGTTTATTTCAAATTTTAGTTAGTTTTAAATTCCTATATAGACTCTAAACTCTACTTCTAATATTCTTTATTTTTAAATTCCGAATTTCTATTTTTTTTCTTAATTTTATTTCTATATGGACTCTATACTCTACTTCTAATATTCTTTATTTTTTAATTCCGAATTTCTATTTTTTTTCTTAATTGTATTTCTATATGGACTCTATACTCTACTTCTAATATTCCTTATTTTTAATTCCGAATTTCATCTATTTCTTAATTGTATTTCTATATGGACTCTAGTCTCCTCTTCTAATATTCCTTATTTTTTAATTCCGAATTTCATCTATTTCTAAATTGTATTTCTATATGGACTCTAGTCTCGTCTTCTAATATTCCTTCTTTTTTAATTCCGAATTTCAGCTATTTCTAAATTGTATTCCTATATGGACTCTGCCTTTTCTTTTTCTCCGATTAATGTGGGAATTTTTAGACCATGAGAGCGAACGTGGAGGCTCCTTTTTCTATTCCTTTAATAAAATAATAGATAATATACATAGAAATATTTCTTACAAAAATCAAATAAATGTTTATAATAATTAATAATACTCGATTAACCGTAAGCTAAACGACCTATCTCGTTTCACGTGCCACGAAAACTAAACCTCTATCTTCAACGATAGAACACAGCCTTGTCTTGGTGCAAAAGTTGTGCAAATCTTTTACACTTCATTTATTTTTTCATGCACCAAGGCTTAACAAAAGACTGCGAAGTGAGCGTAGGCTAACTAGTTTGGTTCTTAAACTGTAACTAGCTCACCTGGGTTCAAATCCTAGATTTGATATGAGTGCTCGCATTTACGGCTAATTATTCTTTCAGTGGTAGACGACGTACCCCTCGATAACGAGACGCCTGTGGTGATTTCGTCGATTAGTACTGTTTGTCGAAAAGAAAAAAAAAAGCTTAACATAGACTATAACTGTCATCCTCTCTTCAAATTAAATACTCCTACACAAATTTACAGGTAGACTAGTAACAAAATCAAAACAATCACGAGATTAGAAGCATCTTTTAGTAACAGACACCTACCCCCTGAATCCCGGTAATTCCAATTCCAATTCCAATTCCAATTCATCTCTTCTCCCCCTCCCCTCCCCTCTCTTCTCGACGGAGACACGCACTCACTCTCTCTCTCGCGTCAGATCCCCTCTCCTCTCTCGCCATCTCCACCTCCTCCATTCCACCTCCACTCCCGCTTCCTCCCCCCCACGATTCGCCGGAATTCGAGCTCGGCGCGGCGGCGGCTGCGGCGGCGGCGGGGTTTGTTGTGGGGGGCGAGCGGATCGGCGCAGCCATGCTTCAGAAGTTCGCGCTCGCGTTCAAGACCAAGACGATCGAGTTCTTCGCGGAGGAGGAGGAGGACGAGGATGCTGATGGCGGTGTCTCCGCGGCGGCGGCGGCGGCGGTGGGGGTGGGGGAAGGTGGCGTGCTGGCTGGTCAGCGGGTGGTGGTGCTCAAGCCCGACACGGTTCAGAGCCCTAACCCTAGCGGGGGGGTGGGGGTGGGGGTGGTGGTGGGTGAGGCGGCTGCGGTGGAGGCGGCGCTCGCGACCGCGTCGTCGTTCCAGGCGGCGTACCTCCACCTGCAGGCGGCCCACGCGCCGTTCCTCCCGGATGCCGCGGCGGCCGCCGACGCCGCCGCGGTGTCGCACCTGCGGAGGCTGTCGGAGGTGAAGCGGCTCGCGCGGGATCCCGGCGTCGGCGGCGGCGCGCTCACGGCGCACCTCGAGGCCCAGGTGCGCGAGAACCAGGCGCTGCTGCGGTCGTTCGACGCCGTGGTGAACCGCCTCCAGGCCGCGCTCGACGGCAAGGACGCCGCGGCGGCCTCCCTGCGGAGGGACCACGCCGAGCTCGCCGACGGCAACGCGCGGCTCGGGGCGAGGCTCGACCGCGCACTCGCGCCGCCTCCAGGCGCCGGCGGCGACGACGCCCTCGGCGCCATGCTCTCCGCCGGCGTCTTCGACTCCGTCCTCCGCGACGCGCTCCGCGTCGCCCACCGCTTCACCCGCTCGCTCGCCGATCTCCTCCGATGCGCCGGGTGGGATCTTGCTGCCGCGGCGGCGGCGGTCTACCCCGGTGTAGCCTACTCCAGGCCTGGTCACTGCCGCTACGCGCTCCTCTCCCGGGTTTGCCTATCCATGTTTGATGGCTTCGATTCATACCAATTTGGTGGTTCAACTGATGCCACCACACTGGAAGGAATCGATCTCGCAATCCGAAGGAATGAGTCACTGCAGCAATTCATCGAGCACTCAGATGCAGACCCAATGGAGCTTATCAATTCAAGCCCAGACTGCGAATTCGCCCAATTCTGTGACCGGAAGTACAAGCAGCTCATTCATCCTGGCATTGAGTCCTCACTGTTTGGGAATTCTGATTGTGGCAAATTGCCAGTGTTGGGCGTGGCCGGACCACTCTACGAGCTGTTCGTTGCAATGGCAAGCTCAATATGGACACTTCATAGATTGGCTTGGGCGTATGATCCGGCAGTCGGCATATTCCAGATTGGCCAGGGAGCGGAGTACTCGGTGGTTTACATGGAGAACATTGTGCGTTCAAAAGGATTTTCAGGAAGCAAGGAGCTCGGAAAGATGATGCGACCGAAGGTCGGTTTCACGGTGGTGCCGGGATTTCGGCTCGGTGGGACGGTGATCCAGTGTAGGGTGTACCTAGATTGTGGCAAGAGGGAAGGAATTATAGGTGAATGAAATAATATAGTCAAAAAAGAAACTGTACATTTGGAAAACAAAAGGAGGTTTGTGTAAAGGCGATCAAGAACAGTGCCAAAATAACCTTCGGAGAGTCACAGTTGCTGCTCGATGAGTAGTACAGAAATAGCTACTTATCTTTCATTTTAGTTTTGGTTTGGGTAAAAGCGGGTTATTCGTGATTTGTAGTGTTGTACAAAGGCCATCAGATTCTGAGAGCTGTGTTCTAACATTGTCAAAGAGCTATTTATCTAATTATTTGTAATTTATTTCTCTGTAGTTCTATAAAAAAAAGGTATATTTATGATTGTGTGCCCCTGTGAATCCTTTGCTTCCTTCAGTATAAGATCAGATGCTGCACTTTGTCATCTGTTGTGGAAATGCAAACTTGCCATTGTACCCTGTTTGTTCATTTGTAACTAGGGTTGTTCCCTGTTTGTTCAAGTAGAATGGTTCAGAACAACAGTTCAAGTTTCCTTTCACTGATCGATGTTTCTTATTCTGAGGACATGCTTAATGTTTGTCTGAATTCTGAAATGATTGGGATTCAGTATTCGATTCCGAATTCAGTCAGGTGGCACACACACTTTCTGTCTTGAGGAAAATGCCCAACGCCTCCAAAAACTTGTGTGTTGTGTGGCAGCATCCAGGTTTCATGTCAGTCAGGTGACTTTCTGTCTATGGGACAGTATCATTTCTGTGTCCTTTGCTGCATCTTTTTCGTTCTCTCCTGTAGCCCGTCAACACAGTTTGTCGTCAAAGTTCAGAGCTACTACTGAACTCTTTTGCACTGTAAAAAGCTTTGTACTCCATAATACTCTAGTAAAACTAATGAAACTACCTGGAATTAATTCCTAATGACTGCTGCTGCCTTTGCAATTCTTCATAGTTGGTCCATGTTCCCCCATCAATTATGAAGGGCCTCGTGGCTAATAAATTCCACATCCCGGTTCTTACCAATTCCAAACTAACTACAGCTTGTCACCTGTACTGCCAGCAAACTAGTAGGAGACTCCTAGCACACTCACAATGCTCTTACCAGAAAAAAAGACCCCATATATTCAATGGGTGATCTGGTCATAACTTGCTCAAAGGCCAGCATTTTGCTGTCAATCTTGCACCTCAGAGATTAAGCCTAACCAAATCATTGCCTCCATCTTGTGACAGTAGTTAACTGCCACTGTTTTAGCTGAAGAACAAGCTGACATAGTAGCAGCTGCGGCATTAAGAATGCGTGCCTGCCACTTTACCAGTGGGGTTGGGCATGTTCCTTGCTTCGGCTTCAGTCCAGCAGCAGCTGCACACGCATGCTCTGACGATTTGCTTGTGGCTTCACTTGTGTGTGTTTTGACCAAAGTTAGATAATACCGCCGCGATACGGTGCACGATTAACTCCCCCAGTTCAAAACAGATTTTAAAAATAGTTTTAACTTTTTCAATAAAATTTTATCTGCTTCCATAATTTATCGTGGTGTGTTACTATGATGTTAACCGTGTTTATCGGTGGGGTGCGATAACCTAGTCCACGGCGGTTTGATAACACTCTTTTTTTTAATTACACAATAAACCCACACGCACACACACTGTTACAAAACACGTTCCTTAACACATGCTCAAATAGACAGAATATGTCTAAATAGACAGAATATGTCACTTAACACACGTTTAAAGAGACGGTGGTAAACCTCAGTTTTGACCTCGCAATAAGAAATGGCCTCCGGATACCTATCGTGTTCACCTCGAGGCCCAGTCGCGTGCGTGCTCCTTACTTATACCTTGAGTTGGCTTTACTCCCGTGCTAGCTAGTACTTGGTGTTCAAGGCGAGCATACTTGGGGGTCGTCTGCCAATCGCCTGCCGCCACTGCCTGTATCGTGTGGTCTTCTGTACCGTTGCAGTGGCCTAATGTGCCTCGGAAGCTGTGCCTGAAAGAATCATCAACGAGATAACAGTGCCAGTAAACAAGTCATAACTAAAGTGGCTGTGTTTGGATCGAAAATTTTCGTTGTGTCGATCGGACATAGGGATACACATTTGAAATATTAAACGTAGTCTAATAATAAAACAAATTATATAATCCGCTTGTAAACTGCGAGATGAATTTATTAAACCTAATTAATCTACCATTAGCAAATGTTTACTGTAGCACCATATTGTCAAATCGTGGAGTAACTAGGCTTAAAAGATTCGTCTCGTAATGTACATGCAATTTGTGTAATTAGTTATTTTTTTCGTTTATATTTAATACTTCATACATGTGTCTAAATATTCGATGTGACAGGGTGAAAAAATTTGCCATGGGATCTAAACAGGCCCCACAATACTTCCTCCGTCCCTAAATATTTGACGTCATTGATTTTTTTAAACATGTTTGACCGTTCGTCTTATTCAAAAAATATAAGTAATTATTAATTCTTTTCCTATCATTTAATTCATTGTTAAATATACTTTTATATATACATATAGTTTTACATATTTCACAAAAGTTTTTGAATAAGACGAATGATCAAATATGTTTAAAAAAGTTAACGGTGTCAAATATTTAGAGGCGGAGGAAGTATTAATTAGTACTCCCTTCATTTTATTAGTAGTTATTGGTTATTAGTTTTGCCACATAACGGGTGAGTTAATTACTTCTTTATCTTGGTGATAAAAGAAATATGTTTTATATTTTTGAATGAAGGGAGTAACAACTAAGACTGTTTTTACCTATTTTCGTGAGCTTCTCTATGAACTTAAAAGCACCATCGTTCTCCTTCCCTCTTAATCATATAAACCAGAAAACAGCTAAATAAAAAGATAACCACGTGTAAGGAAACTGATCAACCGAAAACAAAAAAAGCCAATCCCACGTATAAAAAGAGGGCTAAAAACCAATAACGGTATAAAAAATGAACCGAGAGAAAAAAATATGGGAGAAAATAAAATACCTGTGACTAGTACCGTATAATGTCATAGTCGATCATAGCACATACAGCATCACGTTTGCTATGTTGCCATGATAGCTTGGGAAGTGGGATGCATACGGTTTAGGGGCCCATTGTTTGGCTTTTCTTTTAATAAGCCAAAACGGTTTATTAGAGAATAAAAATAAATTTATAGATAAAACTTATATATATATATATATATATATATATATATATGTGTTCTCGGTGATTTAAAAGCTAATGCTAAAAAAGAAATTACGTTGAAAATATCTCAAAATCAATATTAAAATTAAGTTTGAAAATTCAAAATTTAGCTTTTTCTTTAGCTGAATAGACCATCCGATGGGAGTCTAGATCGCGAGTTCAGAGAATTTTATGAAGAACACGAAAGAACGTACAAGCATCATTTAGACTGGAGAACGTAAAAAAAACCGTCCTGCTGCTGCGATCCGCTTACGTTATTTCTCGAAGGACCTGCACGCAGATTTGTTTTGATCTGCCGCCTTCAAATTTTATGTTGTCCTTGGGATCGTTCCAGCAAATTACTCCTGTCTGCACTGTACATCGGCGTGTGCTTGTGTCCCATCCTGTAGACCTAGTGATACACCATGTCGGACGTTTGCTTTTTAGTCTCCCTGAAAAAATCAAAGTACTCCATCCGTCACACTCCATCCGTCTCATATAAAATCAATCTAGTACCGGATATTGACACATTCTATATTAAGAATTTGGGTATATACATATTCAGACTCGTAATACTATGATACGTCAACATCAAGTACTAGATTGAGTTTTTTTAACAAAGAGAGTAAAAGTGAAATGAAACACTACCTAGCTACAACAAAACTGTATAAATTCGAATTGGATGGGCCACTAGGTAGTACAGTGAATTTGGACAAGTTAGGAGGACATCTATCCAGATTTATTATCCCATGTAGTGTCATTAACACCTAAGTTGAATCTTCTTGGGGTAGGAAGTACTAGCTAGTATAATGCCCGCATTGCAACAGTAGCTTTTTGAATCATTTTTTAATTATTTATATGTATCATATCTCTTAGTCTCTACATATACTTCCTCCGTAAAAAAAGAAGAGTTTAAATTTTGCTCACAGAAAACCAACTTCCATCATCTTACCTACCCCAGCACATAAAACAGAAAATTTTATCCCTTTAATACCATTTTTACCTACCTATCACCATATTTTTTTCCCAAAAATGAGGGGGGCATTTTGGTCATTTTTACTCCTCACTAAATTTGCCTTGGAATGTTAGGAATGCTTTTTTTTTGGACGAATGAAGTACATTTTAGCTTATATGTGTACTCTTTGACATACATTTTTTAATAAAAAAAATATAAGGAGTGGTGGGCAGGGTTTCCCCAACCGCCGGTAACCGCGCGGTTATCATAGTTATCGCACTTAACGCGAGGTGCGGTAAAAGGAAAACCGCGATAACCTCCTTAAATTCAAATAAATTTTAAAAATAAGTTGTAATTTTAATAAATTTTATACGGTCTCGTACAGTTTGCCATGGTTACCATGAGGGTGCGGTAACTCCGGTCCCGACGGTTTGAGAAACCTTGGTGGTGGGGCCATAGGGTGGTGACAAATCCATCGCTCATCTCAAACACTAATGTCTTACGTATTAATGGAGTATAGATAAGCCACTTTCAAATTTCAAACTTTAAAACTTAAAAGCGGAGTAGTCCTCTTACTCCCCGCCCATTGTAGTTCCCCCCTAAAAAATTTTAACCTGAAAAAAAAGAGTAAAATGCACCAGCGGTACTTAAACTTGTCAGGAGGTTTCATTTAGGTTCACAAACTTGCAAAGCGCACATCGAGGTCTCTAAACTTGGTTTATTGTATCATCCAGGTCAAAAGCCACTTTTAACAGTGGTCTTGTCGCCACGTAGACGATGACATGAAATTTATTTTTTTTCTCCCTTCTTCCATCTTTTTTCTCTTTTATGAAAAGACGATGACATGGATGATGACGTGTACGAGGCATTTTCGTCTTTTTGACAAGGAAGAAAGAGAAAAAAGAAGGAAGAAGGGAGAAAAAAATAAATAAAACAATTCCATGTCATCGGTCCACATGGCGTGCCATGTAGGTAAGATCACGGTCAAACGTGGCTTCGGACCAGGATACAATAAACCAAGTTTAGGGATCTCGATTTGCGCTTTGCAAGTTCGTGGACCTAAGTGAAATCTCCTGACAAGTTTAAGGACCGCTGGTGTGTTTTACTAAAAAAACTATCTTGAAGTTTAGATGGACGAGGGTCAGCTTATAAGTTTTAGTATTTGAACCATAGTATCCTCAGAGTCAACTCTTTTATATAAGATATAAAAAGCGTGGATAAAATTGAAAGCAGCGTACCTTATATGCTACACCTTGAGTGGCATCATAGCCCGGATCGTGGAGGAGAAAGGCCCATATGTGTGCATATGCAGCATGCGGGCCCAGTGACCACTGACACTAGGCCCATTTGGGGGTGAAATGGGCTCTACTGGACGCACTGACACGACGGACCAGGTAACCGGGCTCTAGAGAAGGCACTGGTCTCCGCTCGGCCCACAGGACAAACCAGGCCGACTGTTTGAATCGTGCTTTTAGGGGGAAAACGCTCAGTTTTACTTGTTGCTCTTTTTTTTTTCTAAAAAAAAAAACACGAACCGCACAAGATAATGGTGAGGTTTCATATTGATATAGCAGATAAAAATTACAAGAAATTAGCCCCCCGAATGTTATAATCAGAAAAAAAAAAGGCCAAGTGCCTACTACACACAACACCCACTATTGGAAGCAAACAGTAGCACTTGTCGCTCTTGAAGTAGATTGATTTCCGTCCTCGTTTAATTTACGTGCGAATAGGGGTGGACAGAAAGCTCGTGACTCGTTAACTCACTTGGCTCGTGAGTCGTGACAAGCTTGGCTCGACTCGTTTCATTTTCCTAACGAGCCGAGCTGGCTTTTAAGCTCGTTAGAGATAACGAACTAGTGCCTCAGGTTGCAAGAGATGGCCTAGGGACAATTGTTTGGATGGTTTGGCTCGCAAGCCAAACAAGCTAGCTCGTGCTTTCATACGAGTCAAGCCGAGCTGGATTTCTAGTGACCTAGCCGAGCTGAGCTAGCTCGCTATCCACCTCTACCTGCGAATGATCCTTATTATTTAAAAACATTTGTGATATCCTTGTCCTTTATCGTCTACTTGCAAACTTATTAGTCACAAACCAAAATTTGAATTCTAAAACTTAACTTTAGAGCTTTTTCATCACAATTTTTTTTACATAGGCTTTAAAACTATAAAAGTTTTATCTATAATGATTTTTTTTTTGCTTCGTTCATGTTTTCACGGTTTACCAGCCAATGCTTAAAAAATGACTCTAGCTATTTATAGTACCGCGCATGACATGGGATGTGCATATGGGTAAAGAGAGATGCGTGTATTAGCAACTGATCATCCGGACACAGATATTAAGGAGACAAGCACAAGAGCTGTAACAGCTGATCTCCAGAGACTGGCTAATTGGTTTGAATTCCAGAAGCAGGGAGCAGGGCAGCAGGCAGGCAAAACAAAGGGGTGGTTCATTGATTCCAGACAATTCAACCGGCCGTGGCCGGCCTCCCTTTACTCGACAGGGAGAGGGCACTGCACCAAAGTACCTACGTACTTGAACAACAAATAAAGAAAAAGTGAAAAAAAAAGAATAGTGCACGATCAAGAAAACTAAAGTAACTGAAAACTTATGTTATGACCGGTGTTTACAAAACTGGTAAAATTGGTCGGTTTTTATGATAAAATAGAGATGGAGAGATAGAGGGACGACTAGAGGCCAGGCTCCCTCCAACATTTTTTTACGTAGAATAATCTAATCAATTATAATCAACAAGTTAAATAATAGTACTCCCCTTCAATACTTTTGGCCCCCTTCCATATCTAAATCCTAGCTCCATCGTTGTATCCCGGGCTGGCTTTGTAACACAAAATCGTAGGTTTTCTAGTTAAATTAAAATAATTAATTGGATTTTAAATTTTTGAAGAAAAAGGTCAGATTTCACTAGCATAGGCAATGGCTTAATTTTGCTAAAACCAGAAAAATCGCCATGGTCCGGTTTTCGCTAGTGGTTTTTAATTTTTTTTTGTACGATACACTCTTACTGTTTTTGGCGCGGTTACCGGACCCCGTGGTAACCGCGCGAAATATCGTGGTTTCAAAAATTTAAAGTTACCATGCATGGTAACTGCGATAACCGCATAGTAATTAACCACGCGGTTTTGTAAACCCTGACTACAATCAAACAATATTCACTGTTTTGGCATGAGGGTGGAAAGAGGGTAGAAATGAAAGGAATTGATGAAGATTTGATCAGATCAACTGCTAGAGAAAAAAAACAGCACAGATATCAGATAGAGCAAAATGACTAGTAGCAGAAGAAGCTCAATTAGCTAGCTAGATGATCAGATTATACCTAGGTGAAACCAACGCACAGAGACAGTACACTTCATTAATAACAAGAGAGATGATCAGGAAGCCCTAGATAGCTTGATAGGAAGAACACACTAGTTAATTGATGAGCTAGCTAGACTTGGTAGATAGTAACTAACTTCTCACTAATTATTCTAGCTGGGCTTAGTACGGTGCAACACCCATGTTGGCCGCCGCCGCAGCAGCAGCTGCCGCTGCATAAAGCCCTTCCTTTAGTAGCCCATCCTTTCTCTGATGATCCTATAGGACAAATAAACAAGGTTGACATTTGATTAGTAACATAATTACCCTCCTTCATTAATTCACACTCACAAGAATGCTTTTGGCTAGATTGTGAAAATTAATTAATTAGGATGTGTTTTTCCCCGTTTTATGCCCGCCATTCCATAAGTTTAAATTTAAGAAAGGAAAATGATAAAATAATTACTCCCTCCATCTAAAATATAAGCATTTTTATACCCTGACACGATCTACAAGATGCTACTTTGATCAACAATATCTATAAAAGTAAGATGTTTTAAACAAAAAGAATTGCATATTATGATAGTTTGCTTATTGATAAATGTAGTAACATCAATTTTACATGATTATTTTTTTATTTTTTCTATTAAAATTTTAAAGTTAAAAATATTTGATTTGTCACTATGCTAAAATGCTTATATTTTGGGACGGAGGGAGTAACACTTAAACCTATCACTCCATAAGTTCAAATTCAACAACAAAAGTTAAAAAAAAACCCAAATATAACTCTGAATACTGTGCATTATTGATAATTATTTATTATTTTTGTTTCAATTTGTATAAGTTGAATTGGAACTTGCATATGTTTGCGAGTAATTAATATATCACATATATATTGATCTAACTTGTCAAGTTTTGTTTTAGAAAAATGATGACTTTTAGGTGACATAAAAAATGAGGGAACGTTTCCTTGAGAGGCAAAACTTCCTATGTTCTTAATAAAATACTCATTAAGAAGAAGAATAAGGTGGTGTTTACATCCAGGGACTTAACTTTAGTCCCTGTCTTTAGACACTAATTTAGAGTATTAAATATAGACTACTTACAAAACTAATTACATAAATAAAAGCTAATTCACGAGACAAATTTTTTAAGCCTAATTAATCTATAATTAGAGAATGTTTACTGTAGCATCACATAGGCTAATCATGGATTAATTAGGCTCATTAGATTCGTCTCGCAAATTAGTCCAAGATTATGGATGGGTTTTATTAATAATCTACGTTTAATATTTATAATTAATTTTCAAACATCCGATGTGATAGGGACTTAAAAGTTTTAGTCCCATCTAAACAGGGCCACAGCTCTCTTTAAGAAGAAGAATAAGTTTGGCGCAGCCGTGCATTAGTGCTATTGGTTGGCATAACTTCTGCAGTCTTTTAACCTGTACTGGAATCCGATGCAGTAGTTGTGCCAAATAGGACTTTGGATGATTCTGCTATATATTCCTCAAAAATAAACAAAGCTTCAGTTTTACTGTCACATATTACTCTTTTGTCCCATGAGACTTCAAATTTCAGAGGTGAAAAACTTGTACAGGAATATGAACAAAAAATGTGAGTTTGTCTCTTCACAAGCAGTAGCTAGTATTTGGGACAAGGTTTCATTGATTGGTCACCTGAGGAAGCAGGCTGGTCTTCTTGAGCCCCTGGTGATCCGGCATCAGTCCAAAGTGGATGTGCGGAAAGTGTGCCCACTGCAAACAAACAACAACAACAAAACCACCACACCAAACAGGCAAACAAAGATTCAGACAATGCCAAACACCAGGAACTCGATTTTGAAAGATCGGGAAACCCTAGGAGAGAAACATGGCAACACTGCCAAACCCTATAACAACAGATCAGACCAGAGACACACAGAGAGAGAGAGAGAGAGAGAGAGAGAGAGAGAGAGAGAGAGAGAGAGAAAGAAAGAGAAAGATCTAGGTGTGGATGGAGCCATGGCGAGAGAGTACTGACGTTCTTGGCAGCCGCGCTGAAGGCCTCCCTGTGCGAGATGTCGGGATTGCCAGCCTTGATGCGTTGGATTTCGTCCCTGCAAAAATCCAAGAACAAAAACAAGAAAGAAAACAAAGACCAGTCAAGCAAAAAGATCGAGAAAGTATAAAGAAAACGAAAGGCAAACATCAGCTCAACCGACGACGACATCGATCGTCAATCAATGGAGGTATTCACTCCTCTCTCTCTCTCATCACCAATGCATCATTTGCCATGTCGTCTCATTAACTCCACTGTGACCACTCTCTCTCTCATTTCCTCTCTTGCCTCGAAAGATGCAAACATGGAGAGAGAGAAGTGAGAGAGAGAGAGAGAGAGAGAGAGGGAAAAGACAAAGTCACAAAGCAAAGAACCCTTCTTCCTCTCTCTCTATCGATCTCTGCCTCCCTCTGCAAAAGGCCTTATGCTCACTACTGCCGCCACGGCGTCGGGGCCCAAGTTGGCCGGCTGCTTCCACCGAGGCGGCCGGCATTGCCGAGAACTAGTAATACTTCTTCCGTCTCAAGATATAAGAGATTTTGGATGGACATGATACATATGTGTTCCATCCATATAAAATTTACTACTACATTTTAGGATGGAATGAGGAGCTCAAAGTAATAGGATTGTGATTCAGAAGAAATGTGATTGTTAGTAACTCACTTGATGAAGCGGTTGTACGCCGATGGCACACGCTGCCTCTTCTCCGGAGCTGCATGCATTCAGAGTTTCAGACAATTAACCAAAATGAATTAAGCTGATGCATCAGTTAATTAGCTAGCTCTAAACTAGATGAACACGCTGCACGCCATGGCTGGAGCTGAGCTCGACCAGCCGGCCATGGCTAGTACTAGTAATCAACAAGGCTAGCTAGCAAGCTAGCTCGCATGGAAGTGTGGAGACAGGCGACAATGGAGGAGGAGAACGGCCACTGTTGCCCACAGTGAAAAGGGCCTAGCTAGCTAAGCTAGCTCGAGTGCACAAAGGAAGACGACGACTAGACGCGACTACACGAGTGCTAGCTAGCTCTCTCTTCTTCTCCCTTGGACAGTTGAGAGCGTGCAGCGTGGTGGCCATGGAGCACTTATTGCCACAAAAGAGAGAGAGAGTGGATTTTAAACTCTCCAAATTTTGATCAAGAACCAAGAAAAAGTTTCATCTCGATTTAATTTTCAGCTGGCTTTTTTCTCGAGATGTTGACATCTCAAGGGAGCTAAGCAACTTTGCATGTAAGTTAGCATACTCACGTCTGTTGATGACGGCGGTGTTCGTCCGGGGCGACGGCTCTTTCGCCGCCGCTTTCCCCTGCGACGTTGGCGGCGGCGGAGCCGCCGCCGCCGCCGGGGAGTTGTTGTTCCTGCAGCTTGCCGCGCTCGCCATGAGGCCGCCGAGGCCGTGCTGCTCCAGCAGCAGCTGCGTCGGGGAGTTCGCCGTCGATATCTCATCCTGCATGCACACGCAACGCAACCACACAGGATGACTCAATCTTGATCTTCATGCAGAAGAAGCAGCCATTGATGCATGCAAGCTAGCTAGCTAGGTAGGTAATACCAGGAGGGAGTGGTGGTGGGGAGGGTTGGCCGGCGCGAGGTTGAGCGAGTGGGGGAAGTGCGCGGCCGGCGGCGGCGGCGGCGGCGGCGGGGGAGGAGGTGGTGGTGGCGCGGCGGCGGCGGTGGTCGGGAGGAGGAGGCCCCTCATGTTGACGGTGAGGAGGCTGCTGCAGTGGCCGCACCTCACCGTCACCGTCTCGAACAGGCTGCTGCTCGGCACGCTCACCTGCAACACACGCCGCCATGGATGAACAAGAAAAGCTCGAGAGTCGAGAGCAAGATGAACACAAATGGAAAGGAAGTGTGCGTGGTTTGATCTGAGATCACTGACGACGAGCACGGTGTCGCAGTAGTGGCAGTGCACGTAGCAGAGCTGCTCCTGCTCGGAGTCCGCCGCCGCCGCCGCCACCGGCGGGAGGACCATCTCCCGCATCGCCGCCGCCGCCGCGGGGAATTTCTCCTCCACCACCTGCTGCTCCCGCTGCACAACAGCCGGCCGAAACGCGGCCGCCGCCGCCGACGACGCCGACGACGAGGACGACGACGACATCCCAAATCAAACCCTCTCTTCTCGACTGATTCGACGCAGACGCAGCAAACAAGAACACGATTGCTTGCTTCTCTCTTTGCAGCTAGCTCTCTCTCGCTTTTGTAGCAGAATATAATATTAATACTTCCAATTTTTTTTATCTCCTAGCTGCTCGATCTCTCTCTCTCTCTCTCTCTCTCTCTCTCATCTTGGGATCGAGATGATTTGATGGGCGTGTCACTCACTGGTAGATGATGATCTCCCGGGTGATTTGATGGTTTCGGGGTTGTGAACTTGTGACTGATGTGTGATGCAATGGAACCTAGTATGTATCGGATCTCTAACTCGTTGCTGCTGCCGCTGCTTCTTCTGCTGTGATTTGGGGACTAGAGAGATCAAGAATCACATCAAGATCAGACGAGAAGAGAGAGAGAGAGAGAGAGAGAGAGAGAGAGAGACAAAAGCCGGGGCCCTGCAGCTGCTGGTGGTGCTTGTGCTAGCTGCTGGGTTAGCTAGCTAGTAGTAGTAGCTGGTGAGAGTGAGAGACTGGTGTATTCTTTCTCTATCCGTCTCAAAATATAACTAGCTTCTTACCGAAATATAATCGTTTCTTTTCGCCGGGCAAATATAATCGTTTCTGAAGTTTTTCATGAAGAGAACAGAAATTGAGAGATAAATTAGATGAGGATGATAGTGAATCTATGATTGGTTTAGACGAACAAGCAAGTGAAGAAATTTAAATGGTACTTCCACCATCCCAAAATATAAATATTTTTAGCTAAATCGTACTTCCTCCGTCCCAAAATGTAAGTATTTTTTAAGGTTGGCACGAGTATTAAGAAAGTATGTGAGAATGATTGAAGAAGGTGTGTGATTGGTTGAAAAGAGAAAGTAGGTGAAAAAGAATGGTTGTGATTGGTTGAGAGGAGAAGGTAGGTAGAAAAATAGCTTCATTTTGGGACAAAGTACTGTGCTAGAAATAGCTATATTTTGAGACGGAGGTAGTAGCTAACAAACGCTTATATTTTAGGACAGACGACGTAGTACATGGTTCTGATCAATTGAGTTGAGAAAGTAGATAGATAAGTTGTTATATTTTACGATAAATTTTCAATGCTAAAAGTTAATATATTTTGCGATGACGCAAAGTTTGTGAGTGTAGTGTAGGGGTATTATGGGGATTTTATGGTTGTCTGAGACAGTGGCAGCTATAGGTAGCTAGGCGACGAGGGGGGTGTGTGGGTATGTGGGGTTAGCATGCGCATGCATCTCGATCGATCAAGTCTAGCTCAAGCCATGAGGAGTAGAGACTGGATGAAGATGGGGAATAAGCTAGTGGTAGTAGCTACTCCAGGCCAAGGGGCAAGCTGCCATGGCTGGTTTCTAGGCAAGTCGCCACCGGATATAGGCCGGCCTCGACCGTCGCTGTTGCAGTACTAGGACAACAATCATCTCTCTCTCATGCATGTCAGGAGAAGAGAACAAAACATCTCGATCTCATGTCATGTTGTTAGGACTTAATTAGAGAAGGTACAACTATATAAGCCAGCTATAAGCATATGTACAGCAGAGAAGAGAGAAGAGAAGCGGACTACAAATTTATATCCAACTATAGCACGGACACCAAAACACTATGTGTATGACATGTGGGACCAATTATTAATTATGTAGTATATATATTTGTAGTTAACTATTATATGATTTAGCTATTAGATTGACTACAAATGATTAATTGGAGCTAGTGGTTAGCTATACCATTAAACTTGCTCTTAGGGCTAATGGCCTTGCGCCCATCGACTATGGATAATTGGATATTTCATACTTCCTCCATTCCATATTAAATTCATTTTTGCCTCCTCTCATATTTATCCTAAAATAAGTTCATTTTTATAATATTCATTACATCGGAGTTTATAAAAATAGGTAATAATTTTATTGAGAGTAGATAAAGTGAGTTACAGTTGTATTGGGATTTGATCGAGTAAGGGATATTTTAGTCTATTTAGTTTTGTATTGGTATGGGCAAGACTTAGATCAGATAGGGGATATTGCTATACTCCCTCCATAAAAAAATAAATCCAAACTAACATGGGATATGACATAATCTTGTATAACGTGTATATATATAATTCAAATTCGTTATATTAGAAAATATCATATTCAATATTAGATTGGTTTTTTTACGAGGGGTCGGAGTAGGATCGACGCGCACCTAATTAATTGCAGGCTTACAGAACCCTACGAATTAATGTAACTCCAATATATGCATGGTCAGTACACTGCTCGGCAGGATCAGTACCCTCAATCACCGCTAGCTATCCTCCAAAAGAGCAAGGACCGTTCCTTAATCATGCAGGCGTGGACATGCATATATCAAATCCCATTCATGAAGAAGCACAATAACTCGTCAATATCAGTACTGTGCATTAGTTGTCATAGGTGTTGCACTCTTTCGGTGACAAATTCCAACTGTTGATATATACATCTAACTGAATTTCAGTAGCTATAGGACATGAGGTGTATATACATTCTCACTTACAGATGAGCACGGTACAAAACTAACGTGACAAATGGCAATCTGCTTTATTTAAGGAAGCGACCTCACATAGTGACGATAGGTTCGGTGCTCGATATGTTTCTCAGTAGCCTGTGTGCGCGCGCATGGTTGGTGCGTGGTTTTAGGGTGCGCACTCTGGTGTACTTCTTTTCTTGCCAGTTGTCGATATAAAATTTTATTGTAACATTTGATTTTTTTGCCTTAAGAATATTCGGATGACCTCCTTCGATCATCTCGACAAATTTATTTAAGTCATAATAATAATACACATAATGTTACAATCAAATAATTAATTAGATTACTAATCTATACTAATAAAAAAGAGTTACGTCCTTGGCTAGATACACCTTTTTGCAGGCTATGAAATTTTTTTTACATACAGTTATATAATTACATTTTGCAGAGATCAACCACCTTTAACAAAAGACCAATAGAAATATTACATTTCCACAAGCGGGGAAGCAACCCGCGAGCTTATTAAGACAACCGAAACAGCTAGTTAAGACAACCGCACGTGGAATGCATTTTCATTTTGAAAAAAAAAACTCCAATTATATAAATTCCCTAATTTGACATTCATAAACTCCACCCAAAAAAATAAAAAAAAGTGTCAGAACTGTTCATTTAGTTCACACACAATTTCACACAAAAAAATCCATGAAATTTTCTGCCGAAGTGGTCACCACTATTCCTGGATGTCATCCCCTTTTTGAGCCATCGATTTTGTCGCTGTCCCGAGCCACAACACTAGTTATCGACCTCTGATCCTTAGCGGCCTGTACCCGATGCTCCTGAGACCTGCTTCCACCGAATCTAGCACTCACAAGGCCTGTCGTGGCTAGATCTAGCGCTCTTGGGGCACACCACCGCTGATTCGACGCTGAGAGGAGCTAGGGCAAGGACTGTTTCGGCATCAGCTCCCCTAGCTCCTTGTCCCTATGCCCTCCCTCCCCTCCCCTCCCCTCCTACGCCAAGTAGCTGCGAGATACCCCTACCTCCTAACCACTGCAGATATGATGCTCCTACCCATCATTCTCCTCCAGCCTCTTGGCTCTAGCGGTGGTGCTGCCACCTCGCCGCCTTCTCATGTTCCTTATGCATTGCCGGTCCGCTGTCTCCCTAACCATCCATGGGCCTGTTTAGAGAAGCTTAAGATTCTGAGAAGTAGCTAGTTGGTAACCAGCTTCTAGGAATCTGGAGAAGTTGGATTTCCTAGCTTCTAGTTTCTAGTTCATTTTCTGGATTTTATAACTACAGTTTCTTAGAATCTAGATGAAAAACTAAACTTTTTGGGGAAGTTTTTGATTCTGGAAGAAACTGCAGGTACCAGAAGCTCCCCCAGCCATGCCTTAAAACTCGCCCTGACCATGCACACCCCTATCTCCTCCACCACCATACCAACTCCAAAACCTATTCATAGGTCCTCTAATAGAGTTCTTCTAGAGTTGTCGCCCACTGTACGTCATTGGAGTCACCGTCATCACTTGTGAGTCTTTCGTCGCGAATCCCCACTTCTCCCTCACCCTCTCTCCGGCGGCTGGCCGGCAAGCAATCGACCATATATGTTGTCAGCGGCGTGGTGTAGGGATGCAAGCGGGTCAACCAACAAACCTGTTTATAGGTAAAATTAGTGAGTAACCGGCAGATTAATTGATTAGCAGGTTACCTACTAATTTGACCTATAAATAGGTTTATGGGTCGACCTACTTGCATCTCTAGGTACGGTAAGTCGGGCCACGACGCGAAAGCCCGCGGATTACCTTTTATTTAATATACAATATTAGGTTTGCGGGTCAGCTCGATTTGCATCCCTGGTGTGGTGGTGGAGTGGGGCATGCAGCATATGCATGGTATGGTAGCTAGCTAGGCAGGGGCTCCTCGACACCGGATATATCATATCGATCGGGCGACCGCAAAGCGATGGATTGGTTGACGGGGGATCGATAACGACTATCGATCTGGCGATCGGCCGCGCATGCACGGTCGTTTTCGGCCCTGCACGCGCACGCACGCACGCACGCGTACGTACCGGTGAGTAGTCTGGCCACCAACTTAATTGTTGCAGCTGTTGCCGCTGCCGGCCTTGCTACGTACATGGATGTGCCCACATATATACTGCATGCATACGGAAGAAAGGATCGATCAGGTGATCGGGCTAGCTAGCTATAGCAAGCACTGTTAATCTGTGGTGCATATGTACGGATTTAATTAGTTGGGCATAGTTTGTACTCTTCCTCTGTCTTATAATATAAGCGATTTTCCTCTTCGGATCTGTTTCAGAATATAGGTTGTGTTTTGGAATCCTGAAATGGTAATTCAATTTATTCTTCATCTACCAATTTTTCTCATTTCCTTTTGGTTTTTAATTTCTTATTTTATTTTAATAAAAAGGGTATATAATCCCTTATATTACGAGACATCAGGAGCATATTGTAAGACATTTACGTATTGTGTATTGGGAATCAGCACAAATTAAATGAGACTTTCGAACCGACAATAAACTAAAGCTGATTTCTGTAGTAGTGTTTAGCGTTTATATAAGTTTTAGAAGTGTAATATTATGAAGCTTTTGTTATGGCAAAGTATAGTGTCTCATATATATATATGTATATATATATATATATATATACATATATATATATATATATATATATATACATATATATATATATATATATATATATATATATATATATATATATATATATATATATATATATATATATATATCTTTCATGGTTTAGTAGTGTTTTTGCTTCTTGTAGGTTAGCCCATACGATGGAGACCAAAATGTTTTTTACGGGCCCATGCATGAAAAGGACCTTGCCATCCCTTCCTCAGAATCACTTTGGAAAACTTCGAAGCTCGCTCAAAGCCGGCCGTTTCAGATGGCGCACAAAATTAAAGCCACCCAGCAACAGCAGCAGCATATATGCAGCTTTAGGCCATTCCCAACCCAATGAATAGGATGATATCCATAGCATTAAACAAGTTACCACCTAGGATAA